TGACTCAGCTGTCCGCGGGGCGGTCACGTTGGGACGCGTCCCGCCCGCGGGCGCGGGAGCTAAGTCCCGACTTGTCCCGGCCGCGTACTTAGCCCGCGTCTCCTCGCAGTGCGCGGCGGCCCTGAGCGCCCCGGCGGGCGGCGCGTGTCCCCGGGGGTCGGGTAAGGCGCTCCGGCTGACCGCTTGGCTTCGCACAGGCGTCGTTCGGAGCCACCCTGCCTTGATATCTGATTTGTTTTCCTGCAGATGTTTTATTTCGAGTTTTTATGGTGTGCTTTTCTCCCGCTTGTAGGCCAATGTGCAATACCACCATGTCTGTGTCTGCCGATGGTGCTGTCAGCGCCTCTCAGATTCCCGCTTCGGAGCAAGAGACCCTGGTTGGTATTTTTGTCTCAAGTGTGATTTTAGACAGGAACGTATTTTATGAGGTGATCATTCCGTAAACCGGGCTGTAGTAAGGCTCTTAAGCAAAAGTGTCTGTGTGGAACTTAAGTTCTGCCTTCTCAGGCTTAACTGCATGGAGTAAAAGCGAACTGTCAAGAATTAGTATTTTCTTAGCCCTTCACCGCTTGTGCTTTAAGAGTTCCATTACATTGTTAAGCATGGTGGTGATATGCTGACGTTAGGTTTATCGTGTGACCCGGTTTTTCTAGTTTGACCTTTCAGTCTTTACCCTTTTAAATGGTTTCAAAAAGTCACAAAAATAGCTCGTGTTGCTTGTCAGGATTTTAGGCATTGCAGAAAGAAATATGCAAAGTAAAACCTGGAAATTCCAGTCTCTTCTCCTTCCTACCTCCTTTTAAGGTTTCTTTTTGTGTGTGTGTATGTGTAAGTACTTACATATATAGTGTATTAACGTGTCAATTTAAACGTCTTGGGTTTGTAATCCTCCTGCCGCAGTGTTGTGAATATTAGGGAGTAGAGAACTTGCCACTACTCAAGAAAGATGTAGAACTGTTTTGTTGAATTACATGTTTGATTGTCACCACTGCCCAGCAAATGTGACAAGCATGAAATCTCAGTAGGAGGCTGCAGTAGGAGATCTCTGCGAGCTTGAAACCAGCCTGGGCTACAGAGTGAGACCCTGTGTCAAAAACGGATGGTTTTCACTCCTGCCAACACTGAATACTACCAGTTTTTAAAAATTGACAAATGTATATATATTAATGGGGTGCAGTGTGATAATTCGATGCACATACACATGTAATGATAAAATCAAGGTAATTAGCATTTCCATGTCCTTAAGAACTTAAAATTCCTTTGTTGGGAACTATCGAACTCGTCTGTTCCAGTACTTTATAAAATATATAATAAATTGATGTGAACCAGTCTTTATTATTATTATTGCCTTTTGAGGGTAGAAGGTGTTATGGTGTTCAAATTTTTTATGTTCTAGGTCTCTGGTGAGGCTGGCCATCTTTTCACTTTTGAAATCACTAGTTTATCCTGGGATTTGCCTCTTCTTGTCTGTCCATTCTTTGTAGTTTTCTTTGTAACTTGAGTAGTTCTCTGCATTTCAAGTGTATTGAACGTTCATTGTTTACAGATACTGTGTTTAAATTGTTTTTCATGTGAATATTTTTATGAAGGTAGATTCGTTGACTTTTGAATTTTCATGTCATTTTTTTAGACTAACTTTCCCATCCCAAGGTTATGTGGATATAGCCTGTATTTTCTAGTATTTTAAACGTTTGTATCTAAATCATCACCTGGAATTTATCTTTTTTTCTGAACTGTACAGTTGCAGGACTGGGGCTGGAGGTATGTAGCTCGGTGGTAGTAGCATTCACAAGATCCTGGGGTTGTTCCCCAGGACTGGAAAGAGAGTATTTTATAGTAGTTTTCTTATTCAAGTTTTGTATGGCTTAACAAAAAACTTGAGTTTCCATTGCAGATTGAATTTATGTAATTTTATGTAGTGTATATAAATATTTGGGGGGTGCTTGCACATACACTAAAATTGAAATGATACAGAGATTAACATGGCCCCTACACAAGTGATATGCAGATTGATGAAGGAAAATAAGGGGAAAAAAGTAATTTTCAAATCTTTTTTGAGACAGTTCATTCTTTTACCTGAAGGTAAAGTTCGTATGTAAGTATGTTTTAGAAAGTATTTCAGAACAAACAATGTTTTCAGTGGATTTTAAGTTTTTCAGTTAAGTCATCTGTTGATTAGCTGGGAACAGACAACTTTCTTAAATCTTGTTCTGAACATCTGATCCCAAGTGAGGATGCTGTCAGATTTAAAGAGCTGCAGAGACACTGGTTTGTGTGGTGGTGGTGGCAGACTAAAGAATGAGTTTTGTAGATGTTGAACAGCGACAGGGAGGGAGAAAGAGGGTAAACATACTGATGTTTTTATGAGGTATGTAGCTCAGTGTTAGAGTGCTTGCCTAGCGTTCACAAGATCCTGGGGTTGTTCCCCAGGACTGGAAAGAGTATTTTATAGTTTTCTTATTCACGTTTTGTAAGGCTTAACAAAAAACTTGAGTTTTCATTGCAAATTGAATTTATGTAATTTTGTGTAGTGTATACAAACATATACACTACAATATTCTCACCTTGCTAGATATTTTCTTACTATCATTTGGCAAAACCTCTAGACCAGTATCAGGCACACTAATAGCCTTTGGACCAAATTTGGCTTGTTGCTTGTTTTTTTAAATAAAACTTCATTGGAGTGTAGTAGCCATTACCAGTGACGTATATATAGTCTCTTCTAAGTTGGACAGACCATCTGACATGAAAGGCTTAAAATATTTACTTTCTAGTTCTTTCTAGGAATAAACTGACCTCTGATATGGTTGACAGGCTCCTTGAATACAAGTCATACATCTTTTTTTTTTTCCAGTGCCTAGCAGTGCATAGTAGACAGTACATTTTTGTTAAGTAGCTATTTGAAGTGTAGACCAGATAGGAAGAAAATGCTGAATTGTAGTTGAGGAACATGAATTGTAGTGTCAAATCTGTTCTTAATTATCCACGTCAGCTTTGGGTTAAGCTTTTTCATAGCCGGGAACTAGTTATCAGAAGATTAGTAACAGGGCTTACCTTACTCTTTTTCCTTCGATTCTATAATGTCACTTACAACAAGCTTACTTGATCTGTGTAGTAGGGTAAGCTTCTTGAATCTCAGCAGCCAATGATAGAAATAACCAGATGAAAAATAATATTCACTGTCTTGGATTGGTACTATTTTTGGTCACAACTAATGCTACTTGATAATTCCATATTTGCATAATAATTAGATCTCCAGCATTCTTTTCCATACCCCAGGGTATATATGTCATTCAGTTTGCATAGTCTGTTCCCTTTAGTAAAACCTTATAACTCATTTTTTAGAGCTCTAACTTGGTGAAATTGCTGAACAGTGTTTGCTGCCTTTATTGAACTTGCTTCTCCACATGTTTGTTGCAGGTCTTACAGTTTTAGAATAACTTTGCAAATACAGTAGCAGCTTTTTTTTTCTTTACAGGTTAGACCAAAGCCATTGCTTTTGAAGTTATTAAAGTCTGTTGGTGCACAAAAAGACACTTACACTATGAAAGAGGTGAGTTGAGCTAAGAAATAACCAGTATCTTCTTAGTTGTATATTAACGCAGTTTTCAAGATCATGGGAGAAATTAGCCATATAGAGGGATTTTGCAATAAGCAGTATTACTTTTGTGGTTATTTGGTCTGTATTTTCTTGCTGAAAATTCTAATTATGCTGGCATGAGTTTCATCTCTCAACCAGGGATTCAGAGACATTGGTAAGCCCAGGAGGGGTTCTTGGTCTTTTTATGCTGTGAACCCATTTGGCACACTGATAAAAACGTCTTCAGATTGGTAATTTCTCAGAATCATATTTTTAAATCCATGAAGTAAAATAAATATGATTATAAAAAGCCAAAGTATAGTTATTAAAATAGTAAGCAAGTTTTTAATATACTTTTGAAATTAACATTAAATACTGAAATTTAGCAGCAGATATATTTCTATGTTGTGAGGGATAAAAGTATTTTGATGTGCTTGCCACAACCGTAATATGATAAAATTTAAGATTTTTATTGGTGAGAAAATCACAGGTACTGCTAATAGTGTTGTGATTTGTTGCCTACATTTGTAATTGAAGGAAAAACTAAATTTCAGTTCAAACTGAGTGAAGATAAAGATAGAATTTTTTTAATCCAAATTAATAGACCCCCATGAATTCTATCCAGGGACTTCTTGGGCAACCTGGGTCCCAGCTTAAGAACTTCTGCACTAGAGAGATACATGAGTACAGTTTACTGAAATTCTAGGATAGAGGTGAGCTGACTCATGAATGTGTTCTATTTAAAGGATACATCATTTCAATTACTGTTTTCTACTTTGAAATTTGTTCATAGAAGAATGATTTTCAGTGAGAGATGGGGTCATTGCAGGCAGAGTTTCAGTGTGAATGAAATATGCCTATTGCCCATCTCTCCTAGTTTATGTGGCTCAGATTACTTAAAATACTAAACTTCCTTTCTTACAACAGGATAATGATGTAGGAAGAGATTGCAGATCGTTTTCGGTTACATGTTTATAAAGTTTGTGAAGGGGTGTTTGGTAGGATGAATGTAGATATTTCCATCTTTTTCACTGCCTGTCAACTATCTCCAATCCATAGTCCTACAAGATTATTTTCTTTCTTTCTTTCTTTTTTTTTTTTTGGTACCGGGAATTGAACTCAGGACCTTGTGCTTGCCAGGCAGGCACTTATGCCACTGAGCTACATCCCCGGCCCCAAGATTATTTTCTTAAGATTGTCTCCTACTTAGGCTGTGAAGTTCCTAGACAGTACTTGCAGGAAAGTACTAAGGTAATTGATGTTTTTAGGGCTGTTAACTTGGGATTGACCTTATAATGTGCTCTGTTATGGAAACAAAGAATTGAGATTTAGTAGTATATAGAAATTAAAAAACCGATTAAGGACGGCAAAGACTTGAACAGTTGTGCTAACTATATAGTGGTAACATAATGTAGTCTTCCCCTGCTGTCGGCAACAGATTGGTTCCAGGACTCCCCTCACCCCCATGTTCAAGTCGCTCATATAAAATGGACTGGTTTTTGTATATAATTTAAGCACATGCTTTTATGTATTTCAGTCATTATCTATAAATCAAATATAAATTATAGTTGTTAAACTATTGTTTGGGGAATAATGACAAAAAAGTATATGTTTAGGATAGATACAACTTTTATTTTGAAGTATTTTCAGTCTCCCTCTGATCCATTTGTAATACAGTGGTAACAACTGTATGAAATTTTATGAAATATCTGAAGAATGAGACTAGTGATTATATTGTAAACTCCAAAATGCCCTACATGTTTAAGTGGTTACTAATAGGTTTGTATTGGGATAACTTAAAACTGGATTGCCTATTTTCTCTTTTTGGAGCACACAGAATATATAATTTAAGTTTAATTGGTTCGGGGTCTGTATTTTGATTATTTACTATGGTATAAATTATATTTATATCGCTGAGGATTTAGTTCATTGACTGAATTCTCCCAGATTTTGGATAGATGTCATTTGTCATTTTCCTGTCATTCCTTCCCTGTGATGACCTCGGAGGCTGTTGAGGTATGTGGTGTTTGTGACCATTAAACGACTTGGTCACTGCCATATATTGTGAGCTTTTTGATTTGATTTTGCAACTTTTGCATTTTGCTTCATTTTTCCTTTCTGATGTGTTAGGAAGTACCTAGGCAGACTTACAGTTTGCAAGGAAAAAGAAAACCCACATTTAAGTAAATTAGAGAAGCAATTACTCTGCCTCCATCCAATTAAAAGGAAGGTTTAAATATAGCTCCTTTTAGAATACAAAATAGTTGTTTGTCTACCTGCTTGGCGTTGCTGGTTGTTTAATCCTGTTCAGGTAAATGAGATATTCTTGAAACTAATGGTTTTACTTTTTTTAAATGCTCAGAAATCATATTTTTATTTCAGGTCATATTTTATCTTGGCCAGTACATTATGACTAAAAGATTATATGATGAGAAACAACAACATATTGTATATTGTTCGAATGATCTTCTAGGAGATTTGTTTGGAGTACCAAGCTTCTCTGTGAAAGAGCACAGGTAAATTCTGTTTAGTCCATCATCAGAAGTCAGCTGGGCAAACATTTCAGCTTACTTCCACCCACACTCCCTTTTGTCAAACATGAAGTGATAACACTGTATGTAAAAAATGCTAATGTTTAGTTCTTTTTTGGGGGGGCGTTGGGTCTCAAATGAGGGCCTCCATCCTGGCCAGCGCTCTATTGCTGAGCTGCATGCTCAGCCCTGAAGTTTGGTTTCTGAGCTCTAGCATATTGTTTGAGAGCTCTAAAGGCTTATAAACTAGTATTTGAGATCTAGTCCTGTCATTTACTAGGAGTGTGAATAGGTAAATTGATGTAACCTCTCTAAACCTGTTTCTTCATTTATAAAATGGGGATAAAGCAAGTACCCCATATAAAGGTTATAAATACCTCGTGAAGAAACGTTGTATAAGAAGCTACTGTTTAGCACGTGGAAAGCATTCCTCTATTAGCTAGTTATTTTATACTCTATTCCACTTATTTCCAAAGGTTTCTGTACCACCACTATGTAGTAAAGACTTACATTTGAGACTTAGTTACTTTGGACATCACTTTTTTTTGCCATATATCATTATGGCAATTAATCAGCTGTGTATAACTCAGAGAACATTTCTAGGATGATTCTACTGGGAACTGAAGTTTCCAGAGTGACTTTTTTTAAGTCATTCTTACCTTACATTTGGAATTTGTACTAGTTTAGCAGAGTCAATCTGTGTTGACTCTTACTACTAATATCTTAGTAAGTGGGATAAATGCTTTTTGCCTGAAACAGTTCACTAGATTTTAGTTTACCATGTTTCTGCTGATTTGAACAACCAGTGGTACATGTATGATTGTCCCATGGGTTGACTTGTACCAGAACTAGTTACTTGTATTGGTCTTTTTACTAGTAAAATAACAAAAAGTTGGCTGATCGGACAGTCTTGCGTGTGCCTCTGGTGGCTCAGGCCTCTGGAAGTGAGACGTAAATTATTGCCCCTTTGTGTATGTGTTAGTGGTCAGTAATACAAGGACTTGGGGTGTAACTGACGAGTAGAGCACTTGCCCAGCAGGCATGGGCCCTGGTTCTATTTCCAACATCACAAGAAAAAAATGTTGAGCTAAAAAAAAGTGTTATTCAATGGGATATTTCTTTATAAGCATAATGTATGTTCATTATTGAATGTTAGGAAAGACAAAGTTCAAGAAAAGCAGGACAGAGTTGTTTGTCTTCACAAAATATCTTAATTTTTGTGGTGCATGCTTAACATACACTTTACCACTGGGTGACACCCTTATCTTCATCTTGGTCTTTAACACAGAAACATCTTTACTGTTTCTGTATAATAACCATTCATGTTGAATACTTGGTCTAGAAATAAAAGATACAGCTATAAATTTAAGAAAAAACTATTGGTGATTTTTGTATCATTTGAATATTGAATGTTCTGATAATGTTTGGAGGTGCTGTTTTGATGCTCAAAGCATAATGTTAAGATTATCCTTGATTTCAGTTCCAGTAGGGTGAGAGATCAGAAACTGGGGAAATTTGAGGTGAAAAAGAGTTTGGATAGGAAAATTGATTTTTGTGGGCTTAAGTTGCTTTTGGGTTGGGATTGTAGAAGGCCTGGTTCCATCTCTAGCACTGCAAAAAAAAAGTTATTTCATCAGTCATACTCAGGAGTGAAAAAAAAGTAGGGTTGCTAATTACCCATGAGAGTGAGAACGCTATCATTTGACAAGTAAACATTGTCAGAACATTAGTTTAAAAACAAAACAGGAAAGAGAGACCTCGGTAAGTACTGGAATGTATTAATTCCTGTTAGGATATAAATTCCATGAGAGCCGAGATTTTCTCATTCCTTGTTTTCCTGTGTCTAGAACAGTGACTGGTACTGGTTAAATTCTGTATTGATGAATACTACTTTATCTTTGAATAAATTCTACAATGAAGAAAAATTGTTACTGGTCTAAGGTTGATTTGGTTTCTATATAATGGATTTGGCATAAGCTGTTATCTCTTTAAGGGGTTTGTTTTTAAGCACAGTGCTAGGAAATTTTGGTTTCAAAAATTTGTAGTCAGATTAATTCAAAAGTCAGAAACATTTGTAGTCAGATAAATATGCTATCCTGCCTCCTGCTTGTACATACCTATTCCTTGGGCTCTTTTGCTGAAGTCTAAACAGAAAGCACTTCTCAAAACATGGAGATGTGACTGAGGTAGATGTTGGGATTATGAAAGTAGCTGTAGACAGTCATTGTGTTGCTAATTATTTTGGTGCACTTTAGGGCCTCGAAGCTTGCCAGGGATATAATTTTAATGCAGTGATTTAAAATACGGTTTTGAGTATGTGTAGTTCATCTACTAACTATATGGGTAAGAATATGGTTAAATCCGGTTTAATGAATTTTTATTTGAAAATGTACATCTCTTGATTTTTTTTTCTTCCAACAGGAAAATATATACAATGATCTACAGAAACTTGATAGTAATCAATCAGCAGGGTAAGTTAATTTTGAATACTATAAACATACCATGAAAAGAATTTAAGGGCTGTGAGTATAGCTCAGTAATAAGACTGCTTGCCTAGCATGCATAAGGTATATAAGATCCTGGTTTTGATCCCCAGCACCATACCCACCCCCCAAAAAAAGCACTTTAAAGATGTTTAAGTATGTTATGTATCTTATAATTGTGGTTTTCCTTGTTCATTTTTTATTTTAATTTTTTGATTTGGAGGTCTCATTTAAGTTTAGGCTGGCCTCAAACTCTTCAAGTAGCTGGGATTTTAGGCATGGCTTCTCTCAATTAATTTTGTAGTGCTGGAGATCAAACCAAGGGCCCTCATGCATACTAGGCAAGCACTCTGCCTCTGAACTGTACCCCTATTCCTATGGTTCACTTTAAGTTACTTTTATTGTATGTTAATTATAATAATGGTATGATAAACTAGTAGAAAGAAATACATACCAACTGAATATAGTAATAGATTCTAATATAAGGTTAAATATCCTGTTAGGTCAGTTTAAGCTTCGGAATATCAGAGTTAGGATTTATTTTGAAAAGTGGATAATTTCAAAAGTTTCTGCTCAGTATAGGTCTGATGAAACTGCAAAATGTATTGAAATGCTTTTCAGGAAGTAATGTAGTTACCTGCTTATAATGATCATTTGAAAGGATAGATGTCTTTCCTGCTCCCACTTCCACTCCCACCCCTTTCTCTGCAGTAGACAAAACATTGTTTCTCAGTTTTTGTAGGTAAGTGGCATTTTAGTTCCCTACTGGGAGTTCTTAGCTAGTCATTCTTGGGTTACATCTCCATTTGAGAATCTAATGAAGGCACTGTATTTTCATTTCAGAAAGATGCACATGTACATGTACAATGTAGTAGTATGCTGATAGATCTTTAATAATCTGCTTTCCAGGAGAAAAGTCTTCACAGTGGCTGCTTATTTTTCTGGTGTAACTACTGTTGTTTTCAGTTTACAAATACTGAGTGTGGGAGAGTACTGTAGTGTGGTCTGGAGTGCTGGTAGGAGCTGGCTGCAACACATGACAGCCCTCCTATCCTTCACTTGTGGAAACATATTTAGTTCTTAAAGTGAATTGGCTACCCTTATAATCGCACTATTCTATATTCAGGTTTTATTTTTGTAGTATTGCCCTGGTTATACAGCATTGTTATTTCCTGTGTGTTCTTTACATTCAGGTTTGCATTCTGCATCACACTGTGCAGAATTTTATTAATATGATGTTAAGTATATGTATGGAATTGAATTTTTACCAAAGTTAGCATTTAAGACCCAGAAAAGGTCATCCCCATCTTATCCTAGAATGAAAGTAACCATTAGGTAACTTGACATTTTATTGTTTTGAGACTCTGTACGAAGTTAATGGATGGCAGAAATAACACAATTACAGTACCTGTAGTAGTATTTCGAATTCTTATGAAGTACATACCCCTGATGGATTCATTTCACTCAATTTAAACAAATCTTGGCAGATTACTATGAAAATTTTATTAATGAAATGGTAGCCTGTAGATTACTTAGGTTATTTTATTCAGAGTTTGTTTTAGGATTCAGTTTAATAAAAGTAATTTTGAAACTCCCGTATTAGTATTGGCAACCTTGTTACACCTGGTGCCTTTTTAAAATTACATTTGTAACTGGGCATGGTGGTGCACGCCTGTAATCCCAGCACTTGGGAAGCCAAGGTAGGAGGATCCTTGGAAGTTTGAGAGCAGCCTGGGCTATAGTATGAGCTCAAGGCCAGCCTGAACTGCATAGTGACACCCTGTCTCAAAAAAAAAAAATTTTCTCTCTTGACACATGGTACAACGCAGTTATTATCCCAGATAGGATCTTGGAATTTTTTTAACTCCTTTCTCCCTTGAATTGTGTATCAGATACCAAGTCTTGTTGGTGTTTAGCTCTGTAATTATTCAGCAGTTGATCTTTTCTTCCCTGCCTTAGTTCAGGCTTTAATACTTTTTCATTCATAGTATTGCAGTTACTGTCAAATCTGGTATCCTTTCTTTTTGCCTTTTATCTCCTGTTTTGCCTTCTCATTTAGGAGTTTATGGTTGTGAGGACATGCTTATGATTTAGGAAAAAATAGTTCTATGAGCTAGAAAATCAGCTTTATTTCTTGGGCTGAAACCGTTTTAGTGGTAAGTGGCTGCAGTGGTATTTTAGAGAAGGTTGTAAGGCACCTGCTAGGAAGAGTATAGTGATGCCTTTTGACACCCTTGTGCTATTTGTCTTGACACAGAAGACCCTTTACAATCTGACTTCGCTTGTATTCCAGTGATGATGAACTACCATTAGCTTCTTACAAGAGGAGCTGTTAGTTTGCTTGTGGATGCTTTTTCATATGGTGTCTGAAATGTCTTTCTTAGTTTTTACTTTGTTAGGGATATTATGGCAAAATTGGGGCTGTATTCTGCAAGAGACCAAAGAACTTTATGAGAACAGACAGTTTTAATTTGGATCGGTCACCTCTCGTCCTGACTTGCAAGTCAGGGAAGTGGGCATGGGCCTGCCTTTGTTCCCAGCTTATATACATTTTTGGTTTCCATGGTAACAGATTGGAATGTTGTAGAATGTTGTAGCCCTGGTCACATGTTGGTTTCCTTGTGCCATGTAACTGGGTCAGGCTCTGGTCATGAGCCCAACCACAGTGATACATACTTTCCGTACTCTGTTTTATATGTCCCCCTTTAGATAACTGTACATTTCCTTTATGGTTACAGTGTTTCTCTAGGGCCAGGGAAAGGACGAAACAACCCAGACAAAGTCATAAGTAGTTATCTAGGCCCTGGCATTCTTTGTGTTTGGAGAAGCATTCCAGGGCTAAGTCAGGACTGCAACCCCTCCGGGATGTTTCTCAAGACACATTTTGAGGCTTGCATTAAGACTAGAATTACTCTATCTTAAAATGATATGCTAAGAGTCACCATCCCCTATAGGGACTCTCCTGATTCTTTGTTCTTAATTTCCTTCACCCAATTCCTACCAATTATTATGCTGTCTTCTCTGTTAATATTACTTAAACTTCTTTTAATGTATTGTATAAACTTTTTTTTTTTTTTGGTCAGGGTCTTGATACGTAGTTTAGACTGGTCTTGAACTGTGTAGCTTAGGCTGACCTTGAGCATGCAGTGATTCTCAGCTTCACAAGTATTGGTATTGCAGGCGTATACTACCATGCCCAGCTTGTATATACTCTTAGGTATCATCTGTACTAAAATCGAATTATTTATATCTCCAGTATTTAGCATGTGAAAGGCACCTAAGAAGTATATGTTTAATGTCTGTTACAAGGTTAAACTGTCTGTGGTGTTGGTGTTGGGCTGAGACCTTTTGAATGTCTCTATCTTTCCTAGTATGTGATTCTGTTTGATTTTCTTCCAGAACCATCAGACTCTGGCACATCTGGGAGTGAGAACAGGTGTCACCTTGAGGGTGGGAGTGGACAAAAGGTAATCTTCAAATAAATTTATTTTAGTCTGTTTCTTAAAAATTGGAAAGGTTTTATAAAACAGTTTCTAGCTTTCTAAGATTTTAAGTTTAATTTGTCATATTTTACTGTTTTCTTGAATGCTTAGGACCCTGGGCAAGAGCTACAGGAAGAGAAACCTTCATCTTCAGATCTGGTTTGTAGACCATCTACCTCATCTAGAAGGAGAGCAATTAGCGAGACAGGTATATATATAGGAGTATTTATTTGGCACAGTAAACGGCTGTTTGATGTTCTTTCTCTAACGAAATTAGTGCTTTTAACATAGTGAAATTTGCTTTTTTGGTTTAGTTGAATGAGTTTTTGTTTTCATATTATGTTACTTATACATTGCAATTTTAGCAGTTTTTTTTTTCTGACTCTAGGTACAGTTCAGTCTACTTCACTGGAGTTTATAGTTACCCAGCTCTCTGTTACCATGATAATGGGCAGAAGGATACACACGCTATTTTAGCCATTATTCGTTACCATAACACGTAAATTTGTTCTTTCATTGTTGTTACAAGTGAAACATAAAGGGGGTTTCAAACAGATAAGTAGCATCTTAGAAATGAAAAGGTAAAGAAAACAGCTGAGCGTGTTTTCCCATAGAACAGACAAGTGGAGGAGGCTGTTGCCTGATCAGAAGTCATTAACAGCTAAAACTGTGAATTAGCTGAAAAAAGTTCACCAAGACTAGAATCTTACACACGAAGACAGAGGACATTAGAAGACATCTTGTTCAGTACATGAAACTAGAACAGATGGGTTGGGTAGTTATTTCAGGCAAAAAAATCAACTTACGTTTGTAACTTTCGGCAGTATGAATTCCAAAAGAATTTAAAAGGTAAATGAAAAAATGCAAAGTACAGTACATTTGAAAGATAGTCACTGTATTTTTCACAGTACATATAAACGACTAGTAAAAAGGATTTTTTTAAATACAATTTTAGCTTCATGGATAATAAATGCAAGCAAAGTGTCTTGGTGTGTCAGGTTGCTGTATCACTTGATAGAGTGGATTATTTTCTTAAAAACTCAGTTTTTCCTGTTACCCTAGTAACTGCCCTTTTGGGGATCCATCCTAGGAATATTATAATACAAATCAGAAATTCCAGGATTTATATGTGGAAACATAAATTACAATAATTTCTATAAGTAAAGACATGCCATGCTAGGTGTCGTGGCACATGCCTATAATCCCAGCCCTCTGGAGGCAGAGGCGGGACAAACGCTGTGAGTTTGAGGCCAGCCTGCGCTATACTTTGAGACCCTGTCTCAAAAAAATAAAAAAGACATGCAACATACGGTGGTAAGAGAATATCACCACTCAAATGTAGACCATTGTTGGACCATATTTTCCTGGACCCCCTCCCCGAGAAGCTCTGATTCTCTTTCTGCTTCTGCTCTTGCTCTTTCTATTCTTTCATGGTACTGAAAGAGATCATAAGTATAAATTGAGCTATTGGGCTACTATATTTTTTGGTGGTGCTGGAGGTTGAACCTGGGACCTTGTGCAAGCCATGCTTGTACTCTGCCACTGAGCTATACCCTCATCCCCTGTGGTCTAGTCTCGATAGTCCTTCTCGAACATTTTGCAGGGTTATGTTATCTTCCACACCCCAATAGTAAAATAGTATTTTCTTGTTGAACATTATGTGGTGCACATCTGTAATCCCAGTCCTCTGGAGGCAGAAACTGAGGGATCTTGAGTTCAAGACCAGCCTGGGCTGCACAGTGAGTTCAGGGCCAGCCTAGAACTCTGTGTGTGTGTGTCTCTTTCTCCTCCCCACACAAAGCCCCCAAAACAAAGATTTTTTTTTTTACAAGGTAGAGTATTTAAGTAGTGTGAAGGCCTTGGGTTCAGTTCTCAGCACAGCAAATAAAACAAAAAACTAACAATAGCAACAGCAACAAAACTTTTTACAGGTAATTGAATGGTTTTGTTCTTTATGTTTAGCTCTTTGATTTGTTTGGATTTTTTTTTTTTTTTTTGGTGATACTTGAGATTGAACTCAGGGTCTTCCATGTGCTGGTAAAGTGCTGTACTGCTGAGCTACGTTCCAACTCTACTTAGAGATAGAGGTTTTTTTGTTTTGTTTTGTTTTGAGACGAGAGTCTTGCTATGGAGTTCAGGCTGGCCTTGGCCTCCAACTCATGGTGATCCTACTGCCTCAGCCTCTTGAGTACTGGGATCACAGGCATGTGCCACCATGCCTGGCTTTAGAATTTATTTTTATGTGTAGTATAAAGTACAACTCTGATTTATACCTGATTCCACTAACATTCTGACTTTGTTTTTTTTGTGGCGGCGGGGGGGCAGTATTGGAGATTGAACCCAGGGCCTTTATACTGAGCTACATCTCCAGCTCTTTTTGAATTTTTTGTTTTGTCTTTTGAGAGAGGATCTCTCACTTTGTAGTTTAGGCTAGTCTTGAACTTACATGTAGCCCAGGCTGACCCTGAGCTCATGGCAATCCCTCCTCAGCCTCTTGAGTGCTAGGATCACAAGTATGTCCCACTGTGCCCAAACTAAAATTTTTTATTTTGAAACATGCTCTCACTAGATCATCAAGTTGCCCAGGCTTAAAAAAAAAAAAAAAAAAAGTTGCCCAGACTTGCTTAAATTTGTAAGTCTCTCAGTCTCTCAGAGTTCTGAGATTACAGATGTATGCTACCATACCTAGCTGTATTCTGACTTTTTAAGTCAGAGATAGTCTACCATTTAAAATGGACAGTTCTCACTGGTTTTGACCTCTTTTGAAAATGTAGAGTATCAACCAACTGCACTGGTCCCAGCTGCTTGGAGGCTGCAACGACAATTTCTTAACTCCAGGGATTCGGGGCAAGTTTGGACAACCTAGGGAGACCCTATCTCTTAAAACAAACACTGAAGAAATTAAAACACTAAAATTACCATTTGGGCTGATGGTATAGCTCAGTGGTAGAGCACTTGATTAACATGTGCCAGGCCCAAAGTTCCATCCGCAACACTACAGACAAACCAGGAATGACCAAAAAAACGTGAATGTCTTCTACATAAATTAAACATAAGTTCTAAATAGTTTAAATTTATTGTGATGAGATAAAGTGCTAGGGATTACAAAACAAACTCTTCTTCCCAGTACTTGGAGAGCAAACCCAGGGGGGGTCACTGAGCTACATCCTTAGCCCTTTCTTAAAACTCCTGTTTGAGATATGGCAAGGCTGGCCTCAAAACAGAAATTGTCCCTCCTCAGCTTCCTAAATAGCTAAAATAGCTAAGATTCAGGGTTGTACCATGATGGTCATCTGGAAAGCTTTATAAAACATAATGCTCTGCTGTAAATTCTTAGTTGGACAGATCAATGAAAGTGTTAACTTTTGAAACATTACTAGAGATTTGCTCTTTTTGTTTCCATTTATTGAAACTTTATTGAAACTTTTATTACTGTTACTGCATTTCAATTTCTAAATCAATCATAGTACAGCAACTTAATTACCCTTTATTCTCTTACATATCTAGAAGAAAATTCAGAGGAATTGTCTGGTGAACGACAAAGAAAACGCCACAAATCAGATAGTATTTCTCTTTCTTTTGATGAAAGCCTGGCTCTTTGTGTAATAAGGGAGATATGTTGTGAAAGAAGTAATAGCAGTGAATCAACAGAGACTCCATCAAATCCGGTAATATTCTTGTTTTAAGTAAAATAAAGCTCGTACTTTTACCGTGTAGGCCTGGTAGTCCTAATAATCCTGCAGACAGAATGCACATGTATGATATGCTGAAGACTGGTAGATTTTAATTGCAAATGGAGCTTTTATTTAGATTGTTCTGCCTCTAGTTCCAGGTTTAGGAGGAAAGCGGAAGTAGTGGCATAGCACTGGAATTGGGCACATTAGTACAAATACTCATTGTTTTTGTTTGTTTCTTTTCAGACAGGGTCTTGTGTGGATCCCAGGCTGGTCTTGAATCAGATCCTCCTGTCTCTGCCTTCTGTGTGCTAGGGTTACAGGCATGCACCATCATGCTCTGATAAATGTTAATAGTTATTTATGTCACTTTATATGTTAGTCTTTGTGAGTCGCTGCACAAGTAGTAAATTCAGATATTTTGGCAGATAGAGAAATCTGAGAATTTTTTTTCTTGAAACTGGCAATCAAATTCAGGACCTTGCCCTTGCTAGGCAGGGCACTGTGCCACTGAGCTATACCCTGGGCCCCCAAAATTTTGAAGTTACACATTGTTTAAGAAAATAAGGGAATGAAAGTGGAAATTTGGTTCTTTTATGTATCTTAGGATTCCAAGGCAAACTTGTTGTGAATATTTAGAGTAAAAATACCTTTCAGGGGACAGGGGGGGTAACTCAGTGGTAGAGTACTTGCCTAGCTTGCACGAGACCGTGGGTTCAATACTTGGCACTGGAACAACAGCAGAACTTTTATAATCGGCACCAGCAAACAAGTCTGCAGAACCTTCCATGTGTAGACACCAGGGAAGGTCTGTTTACTGTTATCCTTCCTCCTTTCCTTTCTCTTTTTCTTGCTCTCCTTTCTTCCCCTCCTTCCCTCTCTCCCTCCCTTTAAAGTTTTTTGTGGCGCTGTAGATAAAATCCAGGGCCTTTGCACATTCTGGGCAATCACTGCCACTGTGAGGTATTTTTTTTCCCCCATATCCTGTATAACGTACTGTTTATTAAAGTTGCATCCGAGATGAGTGTAATCCCAGCAATGGGAGACTGAGGCAGGAGGATTGGTTAGGGTTCAAGGCCAGCCTGGAATATGTAGCAAGACTTGTCCTACCGTCCACCCCAAAGTGTCAGAATTCTAGCTGAATCGCTAGACTCTGTATTCTTGCTTTGTACTTGGGACACTGCCTATGTTTTTACCTCATTCCCTTCACCTCATGTAGGGATATTAATCTCAGCACTCAGTCTCTGTGTGCAGATGGGGAAACTAAGATTTGGAAGTTTTTGTTTTGTTTTTTTTTTTTTGTACCGGGAATCGAACTCATGACCTCAGGCTTGCCAGGCAAGCGCTTATGCTGCTGGGCTACATCCTTGGCCCCGATTTGGAAGTTTTAAATGACATGTGTAAGGTTTCCACAATTAAATAATTACCACAGTTGAAATCAGTCAAAGCTAAATACTTCTGTCTACAAAGTTGAAGATCTCTCTAGACCAGGCCTATCTAATCCTTTAAAAATACATAGTATTTAAGTTTCTATGTCGTGTCTTTCTTTAAACATTAGCCAAAACTTTCACGCAGCTCTCAGTATCGTATTCTTCATTGTGCCTTGCAGTAGGTACTGGCAGATTTTCTCTAAAGACCTAGTAGTTCATGTGTATTTGGGTTCTTGGCCATCAGTCTCTGTTGTAGCTTCTTCCCTGCATTGTTACAAAAAAGCAGCGGTAGGCAGTAGGTAAACAAGTGGGCAAGGCTGTGTCCAGTAAAACTTGGCATAGACTGCTGACAGGTTTGCAGACCTTTGCCATAGGAGCATGCCAAGATTGAACTTGTCTTCTGATTTGCCCCGTTATTTTAATGTCTGTTCACTAAAGAATGGTTAATCAAAGGCTTTATTTATTGGGTTACCTTTATTAAAGGTGTTACTGTATTCCATCCTGACTGTCAATAGAGCTGTTGAACTGCATCTTGATGAATGTTGATTTTACTGTTTTCCTAATGACACCCTAAAAGTTTTTGACCTCAGAGGTCATAAAATAATAATGCTTTATTTGCTTTTAGAAATGGTAGAGATCATTTCATCCAAATTCCTTTTATAGATGAAATAGCTGTAGCCTTTAGAAGTTCTGTCTATGGTTTTTTTGTTTGTTTGTTTTTCCGGTACCAGGAATTGAACTCACGACTTGGCGTTTGCCAGGCAGGCGCTGTGCCGCTGAGCTAAATCCCCTGCCCTGTTCTGTCTATGGTTGAATAGCGACTTGCTGGCTAATGGAGAATCATAATGTCTGTATCCTGACTCGTAGACCATGTACCTACTTGTTTTTCTGTTGTAGCCTTCTTCTTAGTATATGTCCTGCCCTTGGCTATAGATAGCAAGTGTTAGGGGTCTGATGATCTTATTAGGTTATATAATTTAGTAAATCCTGAGATGAGAAGATGAGCAGATACAGAATTTTAGAAATAAACAAAATAAGTCTGGATATTGTTTAGAAGAAATTCTCAAGCTGGGCTTGGTGGCATATGTGCAATCCCAGCTCCTTCAGAGGCTGAGGCAGGATAATTTTGAATTTGAGTACAGCCAGGGCAACTTCATGAGACCTTGTGTTTAAAAAAAAAAAGTTTTCAGAATTTGTTAAAAAAATACTAAATTTGTGTGTGTGTCTTACTGAATAAAAGTTCAGTCTGAATAAAGTGGAAGAACTTTTTCAAAAGATGTTTTAAATGATTATAGTAAAGGCACATTGCCATTAGTTCCTCTCAGAACATTCTCCCTTGCTTTGAACACACTTACCCATTGCTTTTGCCACTTTCTGAAGCAGTTCTGAAAGCCCCCTTCTTCATCTTCAAGAGGTGTGAGTATGCCGCTGCTGCGTGTGGTTTAACAGAAAGGCAGGCTGCTAGAAACATGGCAGTGCACCCTCGTCCACCTTCCTTGCCAGACTGGGCATGCTGCAGCTTCTGGCTCTTGCCAAAGTCAGAATGACCATGAAAGGGAACCTCTGCATCGACGTAGGACACTGAGACAGTCTGTGGGAGAGGACTTCCAGCACTGTCAGAGTGGCCAGAACGATGGCAGAAAAGTGTGTGAGGGGGTGGGTGGGCATTTTGAGGGGGAGTAATGACAACTTGACTTTTACTGTACATAATACATTTTTGAATTTTAAACATTCACTTTTTTAAAATCATACCTTGTAAGGTTTAGAAACTTACAGCTGTTTCAGTGAGGGTAAATGTGGAGATTGAAGCGTCAAGATTGGTGAGGAACTAGGCTAGATGGGGCTATATTTTTAGTAGGGGAGGAGAGGCTGTCTGGTCGGAGAGAATGAAAACGTTAACGTAGTCGTTCTGTATGCACCTCTGTGCCAAGGGACTTCGTCCTTTTCCTTTGTGTAATGAGGTTTTGGCCCGGACAGTAGTAGTGATAACCGTGAACCTTAATCGAGTATCGGTGTGTAGTATGAACGTGGGGAGGAAATAAAGGCACAAGCATGAGGAGGAAGCTGGACAGAGGCCAAGAGGTCAAGTGAATTAAGTTTACTTTTTCTAACCCCTCCTTAGGATCTGGATGATGGTGTAAGTGAACATTCAGGTGACTGGTTGGATCAGGATTCAGTCTCAGATCAGTTCAGTGTAGAATTTGAAGTTGAATCTCTTGATTCAGAAGATTATAGTCTTAGTGAAGAAGGACAAGAACTCTCAGATGAAGATGATGAGGTAATTTTTTCCTTCAATTATATTAGAAAGTTGTTAAGTACTTTTTATGTTCATTGATTTTGATGAGATTGAAGATGTAATATATTCAGATTTTTCTTGAAATTCTGGCCTCTTGATTTTTCAAACTAGAATATTGATTTGTGGATTTGAGGCTTTCATAGTTGTTATTGTCTAGTTTATTTATTTTTTTTTGGTTTTTCTCCAGTACCGGGAACCGAACTCAGGACCTTGCGCATGCCAGGCAGGCGCTTTTGCCGCTGAGCTAAATCCCCAGCCTCTGTCTAGTTTATTTTTATACTACTGAGCTCAAGGACTTGGTGGTCCTTAATGAGCCTTCTTTTTTTTTTTTTTGGCACTGGGAGTCAAACTCAGGACCTTGTACTTGCCAGGCAGGCGCTTGTGCTGCTGAGCTGTATCCCCGGCCCCTTAATGAGCCTTATAATGTTGTTTTTAACATTTTATTCAGTTCCCTCTTTCGATTTTAATTTGCTTTTGTAAAAGTAAAACACGCACAATTAAAGTCAAATAATACCCTCACGTCTATTTCCTGGAAGTGACTGTGTCAACATTTTCAGCTGTTTCCCTGTGATTTACTATCCCTGTATTTACAAACACACTGACCTTGAATGTTTTGTTTTTAATATCCTATCCATTGACTTTTGCCGTAATTTGTGAGGATTTCACGTCCCGTATATTTCTTCGTTTACGCTCATTCACCCTTGTCGATGAATTTCTCATGTAGTAGTGGTACATGGTATTTGTTTAGGACTTAGAACTAAGAAACTGTCATGGTTGAAGAAAAAAAGGTGGTGAATTGATGTTGATGAATTTGTTTCATTAGGTATATCGAGTTACTGTGTTTAAGACCGGGGAAAGTGATACAGATTCATTTGAAGAAGATCCTGAAATTTCTTTAGCTGTAAGTATATATCTACTTTTCTTAAGGAATTAAAGTCAAAATTAAAGAAATATATCTAATCTACTTCCTGAAATGAGTTTTTTACCCTTGGTAGTAGCAGTTGAACCCAGGGCCTCCAAATTGAGATACATCCCCAACCCTTTATTACTGTATTTTGAGACGGTGTTTCACTAAATTGCCTAGAGTTGTAGTCTGCAAAGTTCTTGGCTTAGAGGTGTGTGCCACCACACTTGCCTGTGAAGTGGTTTTTCTAAAGTTAAAACTTTCAAAGTCTGGTTGACTTGAAGTGTAGTGTATTTTATTTTATGGAATCTGTTGCTGTATTAGTTGTTTTTTTTCCAATTTGAACAGATAAATTTATTTTAAAAAATAACATAGCATGCTATGTTATTTTTTAAACAATTTTTAAATGTACTTTTGGAGTTATTTTTCATTTTTAAATATTTTACGTTAGATTTTATTGGTATATTTTATACATGACCGTAACATTCATAGAGAATTGGTACCTGTACATGATATAACTTTCCCCCATCCCCCTTACCCTGTCTTCAACCCCTCCTCGCCTTCCCATTTACAAAGCTTTGTTTCCATGTTTTCCTTCTTTTCTTATTTTTTTAACTTTTCCCTTCTTTCCTTTCTCCATTCCCTTTCTCTTGTTCTCTTCCCCATTTGAACATTTTCCTCCTATTCCAAAATACATTTTGGTCCTTACTTACACTTTCGGTTTCTCACACCAGAGAAACAATGTGATATTCACACATATGTGTCTGATTTATTTTAAGAGTATCACACTCAAGGTGCATCCATTTTTCTAGAAATGTCTCGAGTGTATCCTTCTTTCTGGCAGAGTAGTACTCCACTGTATAAAAACCACGTCTTCTTTATCCATTTACCAGTTGATGGACACTTGGGTTGTTTCCAAGATTTGGCTATTACAAACTGTGCCACTATAAACACTCAAACTGTGGTATGATACTGTTAAGTGGGGAAGAGACTCAGGAGAAAGTGGAAAATACCTCTGACTGATACAAGAAGCAGTGTGGGAGAGTAAATAGCCCTTACCCTTGTTGCTACTGTGTTAAGTCAGTTCTCAGGCACTCTAAAAATGGTTATATTATTCATGACATAATAGGAAGTTCCTCTTACTGCAAACTTCACGTGTAAAGAGTTTTCAGGTAAGAATCGTGTCATTTCAGAAAGAAAATAAGGGTATGTTAGCAACGGGGTGGGGTTTGAGGGAGCTTGCCATCCCAGTTGCACGGTAGGAAGAGGAGAATACAGAAATGGTTGGAGAAGTACAGGGCATACGTTTTGCACTGGGACTAAGGAGGGTAGGTTTTAGCTGGCAGTGAGAAGAATTGTTTTGACATTTCCTTCATGGATAGAGATAGTGAACACTTGGTTGAAACGTGATTTTAAAGTACTAATTTTTAGGAAGTCTTAGTCACTGTTGGGTTGGGAGGCTTTTTGGTAGGAGAGGCAGGTTGCATCTAGCTTGAGTGTGTAGAATCTAGGCTCAGTGTCTAGGATTGAGCCCTTAAGGAAGTTGGACATGAACTTCAGGACAGAGAAGATCTTGTAGCACTTGTTTTAACTAAATGAGTCAGCTGTGTGTCCTCAGACAGATAGCTTCATAGGTACACCATCAATATCAAAAACAAATACATTTTTAGTTTTAGGACTTTGCAGCATGATAAGGCTAAAAAAACCCACTTAGTATCACGTACTTGATGAGTGACTGTTACATGTTAACTTTTTTTCTTCCCAGTCCAGTGTTAACTTTTTTTTTAATCTTTTAAAAATTTTGTATTTTAGGGGTATTCAATGTTTTTTTTATGTTTTATTTGGGGGATGCATCCTGGGCCTATCGTCAATAAATGAACATCCATTATTTCACAGTTACCTTTTGTATGGGAGAGATAAAAGTACTACTCCTGGTAAACTTAAAGTATTCAATGTTGTGTAGTTTTCACGTTATACATGTTAACTGTTTTATGTAAAATGAAGTGTTGACAGTGGATCTGTGTGATACACTTTACCTCAGACATATTGAAATTGCTAGCACTGCTGTGATTAGTAATTAAGGAGTTACAGAAACTAACTCTTTTACTTCATTGAAGGACTACTGGAAGTGTACTTCATGCAATGAAATGAATCCTCCCCTTCCATCGCATTGCAATAGATGCTGGGCCCTTCGTGAGAACTGGCTTCCTGAAGATAAAGGGAGAGAGAAAGGGGAAGTACCTGAAAAAGCCAAATTAAAAAACTCAACGCAGGCAGATGAGGGCGTGGATGTGCCTGATGGTAAAAAAACTCTGGCAAATGATTGCAGAGAGTCATGTGTGGATGGAAATAATGATAAAGTCTCCCAAGCCTCCCAGTCACAAGAAAGTGAGGACTATTCTCAGCCATCCACTTCTGGTAGCATTATTAACAGCAGCCAAGAAGATGTTAAAGAGTTCGAGAAGGAAGACTCACAGGACAAAGAAGAGTGTGTGGAATCTAGTTTTCCCCTTAATGCCATTGAACCTTGTGTGATTTGCCAAGGTCGACCTAAAAATGGTTGCATTGTTCATGGTAAAACAGGACATCTTATGTCATGTTTCACATGTGCAAAGAAGCTGAAGAAAAGAAATAAGCCCTGCCCGGTATGCAGACAACCAATTCAGATGATTGTGCTAACTTATTTCAACTAGCTGACATCCATAAAAGTATATATTTTTAATTTGAACTTGATAAGCCTAAAAATTTAGACAATACAAATTTTATAAACATACCTGAAAGCAAGAAATGTAAGGACATTTAAATGTAACTTATTTAGTGCTAGTGTGGAAAGATTTAATATTTAAAATGTAGATACTCTCAAACACCAGTCCTTAGTTTCTCTCCTCTCAGAAGCCCTTTCTTATTTTGGTGCTATGTTATGCAGGTAGGTATACCACTTACAATAATTAGTAAGAATCTTCAGTGAAAAAGCAAAAATAACCAGAATTGGTAATAATAATTGAGATTATAGATGATAACAGACATAATAAATGTTGTTCAACATTCAGCTTTGAAAATTGGGTCTTGTTTTACACACTTACCGATTACTAATGTCTTGATTGTCTAAATTTTTAGGTTTAGCATATGTATATTATTTATTGATTTCTAAATAAACGATTTATTGAACATTTAAGAATTGTTTCAAAAAATGTGTTTATTGGATCTTAAAGTTTTTCATAATCTTTTTGGGTAGTCAAAGGCTCAGGTCTGAATTCTACATTTGGAGTGACCATGCCCTCTTACCTTGGCCATACACATGTCACCGCTCAGTGTCATGCTGTTTGTTGCTTCCAAGACATTGAGTTAAAGAAGAGCAAGTTAATAGGGGCAGGAAATGCTCTTTTCCCTGTGCTGTTCACCTGGCTCTCCAGATGATAGATGGCTTGAATGGTTTCTCAGTGATACAGTGAGGGGTCTAATCCTGTTTTAATTGTCTCTTCACTTCTCTGGTCAATTTGAAACAGTCCCACAAACTCAGAAACTTCTTGATTGTGTTGCATATATGTTGGTACTCTAAGAATTTATTACATGAGTCAAACCTTGGGACTTGAGTCTTAAAGCCGGCTGTAACACATTTCTGATGGGGCCGTAATTCGTCTTGCTGCTGGGTGGCTTGAACTACTGGTGGTATGTGAGTGACTGTCCTGTTGGGTGATTTTATTTTATTCCTAAAAAGACCAATAAGCGGAGGGGAATATATATATATATATGCACACGTACACACAAGATAGCTGGGATAATCGTACTACTGATTTTTATTGGTTGTTGAACAGTTAATGCTTGTTTTATTGATCTTACATGCCTATGTCTGGTGATCTGAGCAACTACTTTGAAGATAATATGTAACAACTATTGTTAATTTCCTATCACCTTATCTTGAAATTCTGTATCATTTTTATTGTTTTTTGTTGTTTGACTTTCTTTTTTCTTTAAAAAAAAATACTAAGCAGAAAAAAAGGAGCAAATAAAAATTATTAGATCTGTTTCTACTACCATTGGTACAAGCTGTCCAGTGGGCAGTCATACCTGTACCACCAGTGATTTGAGCCAGCAGAAATGTGTTAAAGCAAGAGTTTGTGGATGCCAAAGCCAGAGGTTTAACTCTTGGCATCATTTAGCATAGATTTTTAAAATTTCTAGTGTTTTAAAGATACTAATTAATGTGTCAGTCTATAGGCTCATGATATTAACTGCAGGTAGGCATAGCATATGATGAAAGTTTGTAGTGGGCCTTCTGACAGAATGCGGAATTGAGGTTTTTTTTTTTTGTCTGTGTTTGAGAGAAGGTCTTGCTATGTAGCTCAGGCTGACCTTGAGCTCACTTTGTAGCCCAGGGTGGTCTTGAACTCAACGATCCTCCTGCCTCAGCCTCCCGAATGCTGGGGTTACAGGCGCGTGCCACCACGCTCAGCCTGTGTTTGATGTATTATAAGTCAATTTTTTTGAGTTTAAACTGATAAGGGTAGTGGGTGTAGGTCAGTGGTAGAATGTGTTTAGCATATGTGAAACCCTGGGTTTGATTCCTAGGACTACAAAACCCACCCCCCAAAGCCAAACTTTTTTGGGAGGGATACCGTGAATCGAACTCAGGACTTCATGCTTGCCAAGCAGGTGCTGTGCTGCTGAGCTGTGTCTGCAGCCCCTCCAAAGCCAAAGGTAAGAAAACCTTTCACAGGTTGAAAAGTTTGTGGTCATATTTCTTACCATTTGATTGGCTTTCAGTTATGCGTAATAGGGATATGTGTGTGTATATGTTGGGGGTTGAACGCAAGACCTCTGAGCGATAACCCACCTTTAAAGGCATTTTTGCTGTTTATGAACAGGGCTTCGGGAAAGGCACATACCCTAAAGCCTGTAGAAGGTGTTCGGAAGTGTTGCTTGTGTTAAGCTACAGAGTGGACTGATGACAGCTGAACTTAGGAGAAGCAACGTAAAATAGAGCAGTGATACAGCAGATAAAATTATCCATGTGTTAACATTTTATCACAGGTAATACATCTGTAGTACATTTAAGTGTTGCAGTAATATTTTGGGTAAAGGGCACCCATAATTGGTTGTTTTCAGGAAAGAGATGATACTGAAACTTCTGAGTTTCATGCTTTGTTTTTTAAAGTGCTCTTACCATTTACAATTTTTAAAAAGTTAATTTTTTTAATCTTTGCTTCATTCCCACATCTTCACTGCCTTCAGAATGTTATTACTACTTAGATGTCCTGCCAGTAGCTTAAAAAGTCAACTTTTCTTTTTTTTGAGAAGGGGTTCAGGTTTTTTTTTTTTTTTTTTTTTGAGGGGAGTTGTTTTTTGAGACAAGGTCCTGCTCTATGTATCTCAGGCTGGCCCCAAACTCCTGGCATTATGCCTGCCTCAACCTCCTGAGTTCTGGGATTACAGGTGTGTGCCATCACATCTGGCTGTAAAGTCAGCTTTTCATAGTCGTGTCTTTCACCTTCCTAATTCCAGTACCTCACCCTTAAAAACTTAGAGTGAATTTCATTTGTCAAGGTTAAATTTTAATACCTGTGTGGAGGTTAATTTTTGGCTCAGAACTTGCCGGGACCTTCCTTACTAGGCGTTGTTTTCAAGGTTGTAGGAACAGCTCCCTAAACTAATTTCAGTGCTTTGGTTTTTGGTCCTGTGGGTTAAACATAGGGCCTCATGCATGCTAAGCATCCAGTCTGCCACTGAGGTATACTTCCAGCCATGCATCAGTGCCTTTTGTTTCCCCCATTTTTCTAAATATGTAATTTATAGATACTGTGGTATTCTTGATTTAAGTATTGGGAAAAAAACTTGTTGGATATCATCTGATTTGCTGGATCATTATAGACTCAGAGCTCTATAAAGTGAGTACCTTACTCAGTTTTCCTCTTAGTTTTACTGCTGGTGTCACTAACTTTCTTTGGAACCATGGTTACTATATTTTATGCAGAGAAAGCACATAGGAGCCCCCCCCCCCAGTAGTGAGGGTGTGAGTGCTAACACCAGCCTGTGTGTGGTCTGAGTGAGAGTGGACTCACTGAGCCTCTCCTGTGTCCATGACTCTCTCACCTGGACGTGTTTTTCAAATTGGAGTTTTGGTTTGACTGTCGAGCAAAGTTATGAACACTTGAGATGTTTTTCAAAGTTTGCTTTTCAAGTATTGGAGATTTTGAGCTTGAAGCCATTTGACAACCACGGTATCACTGTGTGTAACTTCAGAGACTATTAATAAATGTATAGTATGCTCTTTTCAGTGCTGGGGATTGAACCCAGGGTTTCCACACTGAGGCTACATCCCCAACCTTTTTTCTTTATTTTTTATTTTTAAATTTTTGGAGACCAGGTCTCACTAAGTTGCTAAATGCCCAGGCTGGATTCAAATTTGTAACCCTACCTCACTCAGTGGTCTCTCAGAGTGCTAGGATTACAGGCATGCACAACCACCACACCTGACTAATCTTTTCTAATAAATCAAGGTTAATAGTATTCTTTTGCATCCACTTATGATCAGACATTTCCAAACCCGGGTTAGGTAACCTTGAATTAACTTTTAATACATTATCTCAACTGTTGGTATGTTCCTTTGTATTTTCCTCTTTACAACAGATTAAGTGACATCTATTTGTGTCCTCCCAACTCTCAGATGAAATATCTTGTGTACACATTAAGTAGCTGTGCAATTTTCTCTGATTTGTAAGATAAGACAACTTTAAAATCATAAAATTACTGTAATAATTGGCAGAAGAAAACATTTTAAGAAAACTGATCTTTTAAGAGTTAAGAAAAAAATTTTTAAAAATGGTAAAAGCCAGGCATGGTGATGTATGCCTGTAATCCCAGAACTTGGGAGGCTGAAGCAGGCAGGAGAATCATTGTAAGTTCGAGACCAGCCTGAACTGCATAGAGAGACCCTATCTCAAAAAGACAAAAAAAAAAAAAAAAGAGTTAAGGTGTTCGAACTGTAACAACTGAAAAATTTTTCTTAAATCTTTCTATATAAAAAAAGTTTCTTCACTGTTTTTGGTACTTTGTTTTTGCTTAAGCAGGTGAAAGGACCAAATCTCCAGACATCGTGAGGACTGAATTTAGGCATTCAAATAGAGGTAGACTGCTAGCAGTGTTGAGAGAATGGTTAAGAGTAATTGCTGGCCTAGAGAGCAAAGAAATGCAGGAGTTCTCAGCTGTTTAAAGACAAGATACTATGCATAAAAATACTGTATGGTTTAATGTTGAAAAATGTCTTTAACTTGAACAATTAGGATAAATTTTTAATTTTGACTTTTCATTTTAGTATAAATATTCTAGAAATATAAAATGAATATATGAGGCAGCTTACCAGTCACATAAACTAATGGTTCTAAAATTGAGGTTCTATTGTATAAATCAGTTGCTTTTTATTGTAAAAGGAACAATATGTACGAAACTTCGGGGCTGGGGGTTTAGCTCAGTAGTAGAGTATGTGCCTAGCATACCTGCCTGAAGCCCTAGGTTCAATTCTCAGCACCCCCTCCAAAAAACAAAAAATAAATTCCATCAACAAATAGACAGCTGGGCATGGTGGCGCACGACTGTAATACCAGCACTCAGGAGGCTGAGGCAGGAGGACAGTTTCAAGTTCGAGGCCAACCTGGGTTACAAAGTGAGCTCAAGGCCAGCCTGAACTGCATAGTGAGACCCTGTCTCAAAAAGACAACAAAACAAAACAAAACCAAAAACCCAAGTAGACAAACGGTTATGCTTTTGTTACGTCTTGTGTCTGGAGGAACCCCCAAAGCTTCATGCAGTCATAGATGGTGGGGCTTTTCAGAAGTGGCTGGGTCTAGGGTGTGTGATGCTGGGATTGATTCATGGTGCACTGCTAAGGGCACTAGGATTAAAGGTGTGAGTGCTATTCACCTTAAGTAGCCTGGATAAGGCTGCATAATTCTCAGAATTTTTACTGTATTAATGTGAACTGTGAATTTTCCTTTTTTTTTTCTTGTCATGCTGGAGATTGAAGCCTTGCCCATTCAAGGCAAGTACTCTACCCCTGAACTGTGTCATCAGCCTTCATTATTTTTGACCAGAAAGCACACTTTTCATCCATCACCTTTTCCATGAAATACCCTGTCCCATGATAGAGATTAATTTGGAATATAAATAACATTTAAAATGTTCTAAAATACAGTTTAGACCTTCGACAAATTTTTGCAATTTTTGTTTTGTTTTGTTTTCTGGTACTGGGAATCGAACTCACGACCTTGCGTTTGCCAGCCAGGCGCTGTGCTGCTGAGCTAAATCCCCAGCCCCAAATTTTTGCAATATTAATGCCTCATAAAATGATACTAATTTGGTCTTCCCTAGGATTTACTTGGTTGGAGTCAGTTTTCTCTAGTAAGTGAACTTTGTCACATTCACAAGCACGCAAATTGTTTTTAAGGTAATGGAAAGAAACAACATTTATATATGAATATTTTTTATTGATAATCAAAAGTTCTAGGTTTACTCAACTCAGAGGTAGTCTTGGCTCCTCCCCAATAAACTTTCATCTTAAGATAATTCATTTTAGTAAATTCTTAATTATAATATAAAAGAAAGTCACTGAGAAAACTTGTATGATCAGCTGTGTAACTCTATAAATGGCTGTTAGGGTAGTTCAAAACTAAAATGATAACATGGTCTGTGAATAATACAAAATCTACCTATCAGTGATACAAAGTGTATAACAAACTCAGACTTCTGCTTTAGATACCAGGAACGCTCTGCTCTTTACCTATCTGGCCATCACTGTCTTCCTTGCCTGCCACCTGAAGTCCAGAGGAAGATACAAGTGATCTGTCGTAAAACAAACACCAACCACATTATTACTGTGTGAAATAAGAACCAAACTTTTCAATAACTTACCTTTTGCAACAAGACAATATACCATTCCTATTTTTATGGATTCCCTAGAAGATACTTCAAATCCATCATCAGATGTATGCTTTCTATACATAAGTGTAACTTACACCATTTTTAGAAATACTACAAATGCAAATTTGCTTCTGAAACACAACACAACATTGATTTCTCAGGCTTTCAGAAATGTTGAGGCTTTTTAAACATTTCTGATACAACTAGCAGCTTCTCTGAATGTGGTAAGTTAAGCACCAAGATCAACACTGACACTTGTCTATACATATTTAACATTTCTCTAAAATACTTCACACATTTAGATTCAGGTTAGCATTGTTCATAATTTGAGTAGGTACATGAGCAAGTTGTCACTTCATGAAAGCTTCCTTAAATATTCGTTGATCAGTCTTGCTAGCCAGAGTTTGTTTTTAGGTCAATTCTATATAACTGAGGCAGAAGAATTGGCCTTCGATAAGATGTATTATATGGTCTTTAAAATATTTATCTATCTGAATATTATCATTCCTTCACCTAGAATAGCACCAAAAAGTGGGCTCTTTACTGTTTCTAATGGGGGAGGGGAGTGTCCTTCATTTTACAGGTAAGGAAACTAAATGTGAAGTACATTTGAACCCAGGGTTCCTGCCATCTAATTACCACTCTTGTTTTTTTCTCTCAACCTTGAAAACCTCTACAATGTTGTTTTCTCTGTAAAAAGGATTATGCAGTGGTACCTTGGTTCACAAACACTTTTATTTGAGAACAATTTGGTTCTGAAATGAAAGTGTTTAGCAAAATTTTGTTTTTGTTTTCAAACTACACAGGAGACAAACATGATCACAACGATCCTTCCCACACAAACATGACCATCTTTTCCAAAACTGTTAAACTAAGTTCATGAACCGAGGTACCACTGTACTGGAATTTAGAGCCTGAGGAGAAGAACCATCAGTCTGAGGGATGGAGAAGAGTGAGGGATGGGGAAGACGTGAGGCAGGGAGATCTGGGGTTTGCTTTGACCACAGAATTAGATGTGTTTTATCTTGTATGTGCATGCGTGTGTGTGTATGTGTGCATGTGTGCGTGCATGTGTTGGAGACTGCACCCAGGGCTTCACAGATGGCTAGGCATATGTTCCACCACTAAGCCATACCTTCAGCCTTGTTTGCCTTTAAATGATTTTAAATTGTATTTTGATATACATTTCTGATTTTAAAAACACTATTTCAGTAACACATTTACATTAAGCTCATGAACCAACTCAAATTTCAGTTCATGTACCTTTAAAAATTGCTGTCTTAGAAAAGTTAGAACTCTGCCCAATAGAAAAATAGTTTAGAGTGGTGCTGGTGGACCTGTATAGCATGTGTTTCGTAGTGGGCTGTTTGTTATCATTGAAAGCTCTAAAAGTTTTGCCATCATTGGCTTAGGGTTTGATGGCACATCGTTTAGTCTTATATACTTCTATATTTAATATACCAATATAATTTTCTGCATTATTATATTAACATATACTTTCAATTATATAATAAATTACTGCTCATTTAAATTAAAATGGTCAAGAGATTCAAGATAGTACCAGATTTTATAAGTAGTTAAAAAAAGACAACACATACTGTTGATATCAACATGTATGATTTGTGCAGATAGAGTAAGTTTGGCACAGAAACGGTTCCTAAAAACCAGTGTATCTCCTCTGTCCTTTGTGAGTTCTCAGGCTGTTACCATGTGCCAAGATCAGCGTGGTTTCATTTTCAGATACAATTTAAAATGTGGACCAAGCCAACTCACTTGTGATAATGTACAGCACTGAAGGATCTGGCTACAAGAACTGACGTTGTTTTTTCTGTTTGGTCCTTTCCCTCCCCTTAAGATAGGTTAACTTTCACAGTAGAGAATGGTTGCTTCCAATCAGTACTGATGGAAAATACTTGCTTTCTGATAAAAAAGGTGTGTGCCATGACTGGGTTAACAAGGCTTTACTGCAGATCTGGGGACAAATGGAACAGAAGCGCTGCGCGGTTCTTGATTATGGAAACATGCTTCTGTCAGGGTTACTAGCGGGAGGCAGACCGCCAAAACGTAAGACCTGCTTTCACAAAATACTCAAAGCTCTCGTTTCTGAGAGTAGCAGGTTGTGCTCTGAACCCCTGCTTTGTGCTAGCCTCTGAGGATATAAACATGAATTCTTCAAACAAGTAGGTCCTGGCCTCGAAGAGCTCAGACCATACTGGAGAGACACACATGCAGTGCTGCAAATCCAGTAAGAGAGAAGAGAAAGGGCTTTGAAGCCCAGACTGCCTGGGGAAGTGGAATGGAGTTGAATGGGGTGATGCTAAAGGCTGCCTGCTGGGGTTGACGCTTGGAGTCTTAACATAGGAGTGGAAAAATAGTGTAGTGGACCACAATGGCATTCCAGACACTGGGCACAGAAAAAGCATGTCATGTGTCAGCTAATAGGAAACAGAAGCAATTGGTTGTTTATTTTTAAGTAGCCCCAAGGCTGTGTGGAGGGTGGAGGCGGCTGGGGGCAAGAGCACAGTTCCGCTGTCGGGGTGCAGGTGAAATCAGAGGGCTGGCAGTGCAGTGCTAACTGCCATGGAAAGGGGAGGGTAGGCTTAATATTTATAACTGATCTTTAGTGACTGAATGTGACAAAGAAGAAAGGAAGTATGGAGGATGATGCTCAGATTTCTAGCATGGTGTACCAATACTGAGAGAGAACAGAACACCAAGAGCCGCCCTTCAGGGAAAATCAAGGTCATCTGCAATGTGAGGAGTGTGACGTGCCTGTGGGTCGCGGTATCTAGGGGGCAGCGGGGCAGGAGACTGAGGCCAAGGCGGGAAGCTGGAGGTGCTCCCTAGTAGGCTGGGCGTCCTCATCATACAGGGTAGTGGCATCCAGCTGCAGTAAGGCAGACTTTGGCTTCGGAGGGAGGGACTTTCCTGACTTACTGCTGGTGTAGGCAAAACCTTGTCATCCCTTCAGGGCCATATTTTCTTGGGCCACTGAGGCCTGTTTGCCTATTTTCTCTCATATTTTCTTACAACATTAATAAAACTACTCTTAAGTCCTATGATCATTTCTTTCTTTCTGGAAAACTAATTACGTACAGCACTATTTCTTTGCAGATAGCACTCACAGCAAGGTCTTTACATAGTAGGTGATCAATAAATGTTCATGTTGTTACTTATACTCATCTGGCTCTTTGTATACAAAATTAGCTCTTTTTTTTGTACCAGGAATTGAACTCAGGACCTTGCACTTGCCAGGCATGCGCTTGTGCCATTGAGCTACATCCCCAGCCCTAAAATTAGCCTTTTTGAAGGAGTACTGGGGATTGAACCCAGGAACCTAGATTTCCCCAACTTTTTTTCTTTTTTTTTTCAATTTTGAGACAGGGTCTTGCTAAGTTGCCCAGGTTGGATTTGAACTTGTGATCCTTCTGCTTCAGTCTCCTGAGTAGCTGGCATTATAGGCAAACATCACCATGCTTGGATTAACTCCTTATTTTCTTTTCTCTTGCAGGAACTTCTGTTTTGCTTTGCAGTTTAACTTCTTACAAATTTCTAAGACTATTTCAGGATTAAGTAAATAGGCAGCGCTTGATAGGTAGGTATCTTCAAAGTTGAATCAGTTCCTTTCATTATCACCACATACTGCTTATTGCAGGATTTAGAAACATCCGTTCTCTTCTACTCCAGTTGAGGTCCCACATGTGGGAGTTAGAGTTGCAGTAACCTGGAGTGAGTAATCCCTGATTCCAGGTGGTGATGAGAGTTGAGTTTCACAATTTTTATTTGAAAAATATGTGCAAAAGAATCAGTAAAAATAGGAACAAACTAGGCTTTGTTGCAGCTGAGTGGCTTGATGACATTTTGTACAGAGGAATCATTGGGCATGGCGGATTTGATCCCAGGAGAGACTCCAACTGCCCTTGAAATGGCAGTACAAAATTCTTTTTAAGAGCACTGAAGTGCTGGGATTTCTCCGGAATAACCACCTTTGTGAGGTGTGGCTCATGTCCAGGGACCGTAACCTGAGAAGAAACAAACAATTGCATGAGTGATCTCAGATGTTTTGTGGAGCCAACACTGCAAACACTGGTACCTACCACTCAAATGCAGCCTTTGTGCAGTGCATGTAACAATCTGCCAGGCCTCTGGGGCGGGTAACTGATCAGTAACTCAGTGCCTGCTGGCAGCTGCTGCTGCTGTTGCCGAGAATCACAAAACGAGACAAAGACAGAACTTTATCTGCTGACGTAAGTCGGGAGCAAGGAGAAAGCAATAGACTGGTTCTGCCACTATCATTTATTACCTTTCTTTTTCTTTTTCCTATTTTTTTTTTTTTTTTGTAGTTGTTTTGTTTTTTGAGACAGGGTCTCACTGTGTAGTGCAGGGCAGCCTTGAACTCACTATGTAGCTCAGGCTGGCCTCAAAGTCATGGCAGGCAGCTTGCCTCAGCCTCCCGAGTGGTGGGATTACAGGTGTGCGCCACCACACCTGGCTGCCACCGTCCTTCTCGTGACTCGCTCAGGTGAAGAACTGCTTTTATCTCAAGTTTATGCTTAATATCTTTACTGGATATCGAGTGTTTTTACAGTGCATTTTCCCCAGTTCATTCTCATTCCTCTTGCAGCTGATCTGAGTGTACAAGTCTGCTGCTTTCTTTAAAAAGATTTGATTTTATTGGTTGTGTTCATATAAGTGTGAATCTTTGCCCAGATTTGCTTTTCTGGTGGAAGAAATGACCAGGAAAAATGAGATGAAGCTAACTAACTAGAGGGTATCGCCACTGAAGAATGCTTTTATTACAGACGGTGGAGAGGGAAAGGACAAATGGGGAGTAGCATTTACATAATTGCTAATTAATATTTTAGCCATTTGTTTCAGCTTCAGAAGTTTACTCCAGCCTTGTCTTAGAACAACACCGACAGAGATGACTGCCTTCTCCCATGAGCAGTTGTGTAAAAAATGACTCCAACCACAACAGAAACACAAAACCCAAAAACGAAGAAAAGAAGAATCCTGCATTTCTTAAAGAATGTTACATCAAAGGAGGAGGACAAGGTGGCCAACCGCATGAGGTACTTACTTAGTTCATTCACATAAACCTACTCAGACTTACGCCTCTTTCCTAGGACGAAATGACAGAGAAACCTGCCTCTTAATAAAATTAAAAACTGAAATTCTACTGGCATTAATTGGTGATAGGGTTACAAAATGTGTCTACCACTTGCTCATGGTAAAGTTTATCGATCAAATTTCATTCGTCATGAATTCTAAGAGGCTTATCTCAGCCCTTCCCTCCTCCCCTCTGTGATGCTAGGGATTGAATAGGAGGCCGTGTGTGCTAAGTAAGAACTCCAGTACTGACCAACACTTCCAGCCTCTACTCTTCTTTTAATGGCAAAAATTGGTGGAATGGGTATTAAATGGTATTCTCTGAAGCTGGGAAGTACTTTCGCTATATTGGTTATTTTTTTTTTCTAAGACATACTTGTACATCTTTATGGAGCACACCGTGGTAGTACAATACATGTATACAGTGTATACCAATCAGATCGGAGTACTAAGCATTTCTGTCTCTTCAAATTCATGTTCATGTGCCGAGGATTCTACACTCTTCTCCTCCAGTCATTTTGAAATAAACCACACACTGTTCTAATCTATAGCTACCCTGCTGTGCTAACGAAGAACTAGAAATGATTCTCCCATCTTCCTTAGCACCTCTTAGCAAACTTCTTTCCAGTCCTGAGCTCCTGTCCTTCCTGGCCTCTAGTGACCACTGTTCCATCACATTCTCCTAGAAGACGAGAGACATGTGGTTTGGTCTTTGTGTGTGACTTGTTTCAGTGAACAGAATGACCTCTGGTTCCATCTGTGTTGCTGCAATTGACAGAATTTTATTCTTTTTTATGGACAAACAATACTCCATTATATGTATATGCTGCATTTTTTTATCCAGTCATTCACTGAAGGTAACTGAGTTGATTCTATATTTTAGCTATTGTGAATAATGCAGCAATAAATAGCGGGGTACAAATACCTTTTTGGTATAACGATTTCATCTCCTTTGGGTATATACACAGTAGTGGAATTGGTACATTTCATGTGGTAGTTTTATTTTAGTGTTTGAAGGAATCGCCATACTGTTTTCCATAATGGCTGTTCTAATTTACATGCCCACCAACAGTGTGTAAGAGCTTCCTTTTGTCTGCCTCCTCACCAGCATCTGTGACGTTTAGTCTTCTTAATAATTGCCCTTCTAACTGGGGTGAAATATCACTGTGGTTTTGATTTGCATTTCCCTGATGATTAGTGAGACTGAGCATTGTTGGCTGTTTATGTCTTCTGAGAAACGTTTGGTTCTTTAGCATATTTTTTAGAGACAGGGTCTTACTATATAGTTCAGGCTGGCTTTGAACTCATGGTGATCCCCCTGTGTCTCCGCTTCCCAAGTGCTGGGATTATAGGCATGTGCCAACATGCCCGGCTTAGCACATTTTTAAACTGGATTTTTTTTTTTTTTTTCCTGTGTGTGTGTTTGCCTCAACTTTTGTTGCCTTGCCTTTGAAGCTCCATCTAAAAATTCGTTATCACATGACTGTCTTGAAGTGTTTCCCCTGTGTTTTCTTGTAGCGACTTCATAATTTCAGGGTTTTTTTTGTTTTTTTTTTGGTCTTTTTGAGACAGGGTCTGGCTATGCAGTTCAGGCTGGCCTTGAGCTCACTTTGTAGCCCAGGATGGTCTCGAACTCGCAGCGATCTTCCTGCCTCAGCCTCCCAAGTGCTGGGATTACAGGCATGCGCTCAGGTTTAACATTTGGGTCTTTGATCCATTATCAGTTATTGTTTGGGTATGAGGAGAGGAAAGGATCTAGTTCCACTCTTCTGTATATGCATATCCATTTATTGAAGAGACTCTTTTCTCCGCTGTATATTCTTGGTGCTTCTGCAAAAAACCTGCTGGCTGTGTGAACGTAGATGCATCTCTGTGCTCACTGCTCTGCCCCGTTGGGCTCTGTGTCTGTTTTTAATGCCAGTGTTATGCTGTCTTAGTTAGCAAGCTTTGCAGTATGTTTCAAAATCAGGATCAAACCCAGGCCTTGTGCATGTTAGGCAACATCCCCAGCCCTAGATTTTATTTATGCTGTGATCTTGATTTATTCTACTAATTTTGAGATAGTGTGTTCTGCCTTTCTGTCTTTGAGGTGTATTTTAAAGATCTATTTTGTTTTAAATGTATGCCTTTATTGCAATAAACTTCCCTCTCCATACTGCTGTTGCTGTATCCCAGAGATTTTAGTATGTTGTGTTATAATTTTCAATTTCTTTTCCTTTGTTTTGTCTTTTTGAGACAGGATCTTGCTATGCAGTCCAGGCTGCCCTTGAGCCCACTTTGTAGCCCTGGCTGGTCTTAAACTCACAACAATCCTCCTGCCTCATCCTCCTGAGTGCTGGGATTACAGGTGTATGCCACCATGCCTGGCCCATTTTCAATTTCTTTAGAAATTTAATTTTTTATTTTCCCTTTTAACTTTTCAATTACCTATTGGTTACTTAGGAGCATGTTATTCAATTTCCATGTATTTGTATACTTTCCATTTTCTTGTTGATTTAAAGTTTTAAACTGGGCCTGGGGATTTAGCTCAGTAGCACAGCACCTGCCTGGCGAGTGCAAGGTTGTGAGTTTGATTCCTGGTACTGGAAAAAAACCAAAAAAAAAAAAAAAAAAAAAGCTTTAAACTGCTGTGGTCTTAGAAGGTACATAGTGTGATTTCATTTTTTAAAAATTTACTGAGACTTGATTTGTGGGTTAGCATGATCTGTCCTGTGGAAATGCCCCATACCCTGATGAAAAGAATGCATTCTGCTGCTGTTGGATAAAGCGTTAGGTCCACTTGCTCTGTAGTATGGCACAGCTCAGGTTTTTAAAAATTTTATGTCTGATTTGTCCATTGGGTAAAGTAGGATACTGAAGCACCCTACTGTTACTGTAGTAAGAGTCCATTTATCCCTTTAGTTGTAATATTTGCTTTTATATTTGGGTGGTCCCATGTTGCGTGCATATATATATTGACAATTGTTAAATCTTCTTTTGGAATTTATCCTCATCAATGTATGAGACATTCTTTGTCTCTTTTTACAGTTTTTAATTTAATGTCTGCTTTACCTGAGTATAGCTACTCCTGCTTGCTTTTAGTTTCCACTTGTGTGATGTATCTTTTTCCAACCCTTCACAGTTAGTCTCTGTGTTCCTTTATCAGTGAAGTGAGTTTCTTATAGGCAGAATATAGTGAATCTTGCTTTTTAAAAGAATCCATTTGGTCAGTTTCTGTCTTTTGATTAATTTAATCCATTTACATTCAAGGTTATTAATAATATATATGAACTTCCTCCTGTCACTTTTTTCTTTTAATCTCTATTTTTGTGATTTAGTAGTTTCCTGTCATGTTATGCTAAGATTTGATTCTCTTCTTTTTCTCATTTCATATCTGTTTCCCCATGAAGTTGGTATAGCAGTATGTTTTCATTATGGTAGTTATCATCCTTTCTAGCATAGGACTAAGTGTTTCTTATAAGGATGGTCTGGTGGTGATATATTCCCTCAGTTTTTGCTTGTCTGGGAAAGATTTTCTTTTTTTTTTCTTTTTGGTACCAGGAATCAAACTCATGACCTTGTGCTTGCCAGACAGGCACTTGGCCGCTGAGCTATATCCCTGGATCCTTACTTTCCTTTCATATTTGAAGGATAATTTTGCTGGGTATAGTATTCATAGTTGGCAGGGTTCTTTTTTCTTTCAGTATTTTAAATATATCCTCTTCTCGGGGCTGGGGATTTAGCTCAGCGGCAAAGCGCCTGCCTGGCAAGCGCAACGTTGTGAGTTCGGTTCCCGGTACCGGAGAAAAACCAGAAAAACCAAACTAAATATATCCTCTTCTGGGCTGTAGGGATTCTGGTCAGAAATTGGCTGTAAGTCTAGTGAATATTCCTTTTTATGTGACTTGATGCTTTTCTCTTGCTGTGTTTACAATTTTCTCTTTGCCTTATATACATGACCTTTTGACTGTCTTAGTAAACATACGATTTTGTTGAATCTAGCTGAGGTTCTTTGATCTCCTTGTATTTACATGTCCATATCTCTTAGAAGATTTGGGAGTTTTTCAACTATTATTTTATGAAATAGATTTTCAAAGCTTTTCCCCTTTGCTTGACCTTCTGGAATTCCTCTAATGCAAATATTTGTTTACTTAACAGTGTCCCATAAGTCTCATAGGCTTTCTTCTTTTTAATACTCTCTCCCTGGGTTAATTCAAAAGAACTATCATCAAGTTCAGAAATTCTTTCTTCTGCTTGTTCTTGTCTGTTGAAGAAGCTCTCTATTGTATTTTTCATTTCATTGACTGAAGTTCCTAGTTCTGATGAGTTCTTTTTTATTTCTGATGAGTTCTTTTTATTTCTATTTCTTTGGTGGATTTCTCATTCTTTTTTTTTCCTTGATAAGACAAGGTGCCAGAAAATTCTAGCATGAGGTAGAAGGTGCACAGGAAGGCTGCGAGGCTCTTTTTATGCCTAATGCATGAGAAATGGCGGTCCTTTTACCCCATTGGCTGGGGCTGGGTTCCAGGTTCACAGTCCATCCCAACTGGCTAGTTTAAGTAGCATGAGGGGAAGACCTGAAGAGTGGCTGGGAAGGGCTGCTAAGGGGAAGGCAGAGTTGGCGTAAGGGGGATGGGAAGCTCCTGGCTGTTGGTAAGTTATCTTTGGATGTCAGCTCTCTTCCCAGAATCCAGAATCGAAACTGAACAGTTTTTGTAACTCGGTGTTCATAAAAGGGGGAGGGCAGCCTAGAATGAACTGCACCTCAAGATGGGAGACACTCTCTTATGCACATTTTTGACAGAAAAGACAGGGCTGGGGTTTCTCACAGTTTCCTCCCTGTAGACAGCCTCACGCTTCTCTTCAAACTCCGTGAGGGGACGTTCACTCTCCTTGTTGTGTGAACGTGGTAGCTGAGCGTGGTGAGCCCCCCTCTGTTCGGCCATTAGGACTGTAGTGTTTTCGTAGTCAGGAGCACGAGGAAGGCCTCCCATGCTGTGTGAGTCTGTCCTCTGTATGACTTGATCTAGACACAGTCAGCAGGTTGCTATGGGCAGGTGGGCAAGTTGAGTGGTGCGGTTTGAGCTAAGGGTCCCTTCTGTCTGAGGGAATGGAAGGTAGAGGACAGCCGAGCATATAGTTTCTTAAGAACTGACCTTTGGTTTTAATAGTGGGCAGGTCTGAAGGCCTACCAAGGTAGGAAAGCCCTTAACGCATTTCATAGAGATAACCTAGCGTCTGCTTTGGGAGCTGTCCTAATTCTAAGCAAAGTAGTGCGAAGACATTACATCCACGGTAACTCAGTTTGGTTAGGTGAGTTTTAAGAGTTTGATTCTTCCCTTTTCTTTTGAGCAGAGGCAGGTGGGTGCCAAGGGTTATGGTATTCCGTTTAGAGCCAGCTTCCCAGAGAGTCCCCTCACTACTTGAGCTATGAAGTGGCTCCCATTATCTGAGCCTAATTATTCTGAGTTTTTAATTATTCCAGATCTTTGGGCTATCTGCTCTCTCGAGGCTTTTACTACATTACCTGTTGTTGCACAAAGCAAGAATAAACAAACTTTGAAGCACGTATGACCAAAGCATGAGCACTACAGTGGAAGAGTAGACAGGGAAAAAAGTCACATCCAGATACTGCTTTTTTTTCCCCTGGTACCGGGAATCAAACTCACAACCTTGCGCTTGCCAGGTAGGTGCTGTGCCGCTGAGCTAAATCCCCAGCACCCCAGATACTGTTTTTAAGGGGTTGGAATAGCAACTGTAACCAGCTGGCTCCTGGACCTGTTTTTAGGTGTAAACCCTAACCCTAACTCCTTTTTGATGTTTAGTCTACATTATTATTACTTTTAATATGTCTTTGGTTACACTTTTTTTGGTTGGGTGTCTAAGACCAAGTTAAGTGAGACCTGTGTTAATGAAAACTAACCTCTTGTTATCTATCAAGGTCAGTCAAGGTCTGTCAGTGCTTCCTCAGGCATTACTTTGGAGCTCTGCATAGATCTCCTGAGCTCCTCTGTCAGTGTCAGCTGCCAGGGTGGGGCACAGCCTTGCTTGACCATGTGGCTTCCTGTGGAAGCACAGAATAGCTTTTTTTCTGGTGACCCTCCTTTTTAGCACACCATACACTGGCTGACTTGTTCTCTGAGGTCCAAAAATCTCCCTGTTTAGGAGATTGGGGGACTAACAAAAGTTTAGGATTTTGTGGAAAAAGGTTCCCCCTTGTCCTGGGTCTTTGTTGACCTTGGAGGGCGAGAGCCAAAATATTGGCTGTCCTCTTAGCTCAGTTTCCTTTTTAACTTCAGTCTCCAAACCCTAGTTGTTGAACACCCAGGAGATCAGTTACCTAGATATCAAGTACCATGAAATATATAGGGAGTACGGAACTGTTATTTTCTTAGAAGCTGAATCCTTGCAGAGAATTTCTCCTTGGTAGCCTGAATCGTCCCCATTTGCTTGTATTGTTTATCTGTACTCTCTTGCATCTCTCTGAATTTCAGTAGGATCACCATTTGACTTCTTTTTCAGGCATCTTGTAGATTTCCTTCAAATTAGGATCTTTCTGGAGAGCTGTTGTTTCTCTTTGGAAGTTTCTATTTCCTTTTGTATTTCTTGTGTCCTTATGTTGATGGGAGCTTGTAGTGCTGTTAAATGTTCTTGTGGAGCTCTGGGTCCTGGAGCATACCTTGCCCTGGTCTCCAGGGACACGTTTGAGTGAACTTGCCTTTGGCACCAGTTCTGTGGTCAGAAGTCTGGATTGTGGAGAAGATGTTCCTTAGGCCTTCTGGAGGGAGTACAGGTAACGTGGGCTTTTGGTGCTATATCCACGCTCTAGGAGGTATAGGATGTGGGGAGATCTAACTTAGGTTTTGTAGGTTGAGCAGAGATAGTCCTGTGGCTTTGGTACCTGTGGCTTTTGAGCTGTGCTGTATGAGTGAGACTATCACTAGATCATGCAGGGCAACAAGCTCTGGTGGGGACAAGGCTTGTGGCCCTGGTAGTTATAGTCCTGGAGCTAAAGAACGTAACATAGATGGCCACCTCTGACTCCCAGGGCCAAGCTTAAGTGCAGCCAAGGCTTTTTGCATCTACAGCTGTAGTCGCAGGTATGGGCTGGGAAGGAGACTTTGCCTTGATCCTACTTTGTGATCACAGTTGTCTGCAGGGGTCAGGGTCACTGGCAACTGCGTTCCTGGAGGTGTGGGCTTGCTTGAGAGCTCGCCCAGCCTCAGATGGATAGGTGTGAGTGAAGCAGGGCTTCAGTGAAACGGTTCAGGTTTGTGGGCTTAGGAGACATACCGTAGGTTTCATGGGACACAGGTAGGTGGAACAAAGGTGAGTGGGACTCAGACTTGTGGCTACAGCAGGGCAGCCACTGGTGCTGAAGCTGTAGGATGCTGGGGTGGGCAGCATCTCCTGCCCAGGGAAGTGTGTACCAGCCCAAGGCTCCTGACACTGTCAAGGGTTTAGCTACTGGCCCCTAGACCAAAATGGCATGTAGAAGTGGCTGCTGTGGTAGCTGACTTTTAGAGTTTGAGAAGGTCTAAAGTCAGTTCCTTCTTTGGACAGAGGAGTCACTTTTTTACCAGCCAGTTCCCCAAACTGGATTTCAAATTTGCAAAGACTGGAATTTTCCAACAGTTAGGACTGCCAAACTGTTGCTGGCACTTTCCTGATTATGTGGTGCTGTGTTGGTCCTACTACCCCCTTTCTTGACTGGGGGCCAGGGCTGAAGTTGCGGACTGCTGTGTTGTTTTCCACTCTGCATGCTATTTTAGGTCCCATCACCCCTTTAATGATTTCCTCCCTCCCTCCCTTCCCTTAAAATACAGGTTCTCCTTTGCTGCCTTGACTCTTTTCTGCGACAAATCATGAGCAAGGCACCTCTGTTCAGCCATCATAGTGCCCTCTATTCTTAATGAGTTTAAAAATTATCACAAAAATAATACTTAGTTTATATTAAAAATTAATTTCTAGTTAGGAAAAAACTTTTTTTGTTTAGTGTTTTTCTTTTTTTGTTTTGTTCCTATCATACTCTACTCTGCTGCTAATTGCAAATCTGATGATGTTCTTTCCTTTTGCCCCAGATTATTTTGACTTTAGATTCCTCTGGGGTGAGTACAGTGAGTGCAATAATATTTTCAATAACTAGGATTGCATACTTACATTTATTTCATAGGATCCAGGCAAGAGAAGTAGATAATATTCTCCAAATTTGTTGGTTCTAAATGGGCAGATGTGTTTTCTGTCTTGGACTTCCACAATCACATTGGGTAATGGATTTTTATTCTGATCAAAAACTTGACCCTTTATACCTGTGATACAGAAAGAAAATTGAGTATAAACAGCACATTGTATGGCATATGAAAAATTCTTGTCATTGTTTTAGAAAAATATGCCTTTTCTTGAGACAGGGTCTTATTATCTAGTCCAGACTGGCCTTGACCTCACAACAATCTTCCTGTTTCAGCATCCTGAGTGCTGGGATTACAGGCATGTGCCACCGTGCCAACAATATGGCCCATTTTTATTAGCTATTTTAAGTTAAAGAGTGTTACAGAAAACAAGTATTTTTGTTGACTCTAAATTAGTTAGGCTACTAATTTAATAGCTCAAATTTGCTGGTTGTCAAAATACCCCATTTACAACATATTAAAATAAGAGAACAGAGATGACAACCTAAGATCCATTCCTATAACTTCCAAGTTATTGTTTCCAAGCTGTTTATTCCAGCACCAAAGTGTACTGTAACATTCCATTAGTGGATTCTGTAATGCTAAACGAAAACAATGTCAATGTGTGTAAGATATTTATTTACACAAGGGACTCAGTGCTTTTGTCTTATGGCCAAGTAAACTCTGGGAAGAAAACTTAGACACCAAGGTTGTCTGAAGCATGGAATTTCTTGGCAGGGGTCATATTATCACTAGTAACAGCAACTAACATTTACCGAGCACTTATTAGGCTCTTTGCTAAGTGTTTAATGTGCATTTTCTCGCTGAATCCTCACATTAACTCTACAAGATAGACAGTGTTATGATCACAATTTTACAGGGCTGGGCCTGCATCTCGGGGTAGAGTGCTTGCCTAGAATGCATGAGCCCCTGGATTTGATCCCTAGCACCACCCCCATACCATGAACAACAACAACAAAATTACACAGCCAAGAAGAGTAAAGGTCTGGGAGGCACAACCTACACAGGAGACCACAATAAGAGCCCACACTGAATCAGTCAGCCCCCTCCCCTTCCACAGTTTCGGGGAGACTCTTTTCTGTGGTACTGGAGACCAAATCCAGGGCCTAACGTTCTAGGCAAGTACTCCCACCGATGAGCTACACCCCACCCTGCTTCTCATTTTAGATCCTAAATTTCATAGTCCAGTTTGTTAACGCCAGTAACACACCAGGCCACCTTAAGGTGCGGCTGTCTAAGCTCCATGACATAAACGAGAAGCCACGGAAGCCACAGTGATAAGATGCCCTGACCTATCCCCAAATCGTTACACACAGGTTATTTACTAGGCAGTAAAATGAGGCACACATTAGATAGTGTTCTCCAAAAAAAATTAAAATGAAGAAAATAAAGGTTCCGACATTTAGCAGCAAAACCCTGGCTTGATCACTGTATAAACCTCTGACCCAAGTTGGCTTTTACTTGCTTTCCTGTTCAATCTTCACTCCTCTCCCCAAGAACAAATTATTAAATCCTGTATTTCCTTCTTACTTTCTCAATACAGGTCAACTACGTAAACCTCAATTTTCATGTAACTTGTCCTTTTGCCCTTTTTCTTTTCAAAGTTCCACTTACATTTATTCCTATATTGGTATGCTGAAAAAGACCAATAGCTCTGAAAAAGCTATCACTAGGGGACCAAAAATAATATTTTGAAAAGTTCAGCTGATGAACCAAGGAGCAGACATAACCCGAGGCTTCAAGTATGGCCACGTCTGGTGATGTGCTGAGAAAGATTAAGCTCTCCTGCCCTTGGAAATATATTAGCTTCACGAGGGAAGGGTCCCTGCTGGGAAGAACTGGAACTGTGCCTCTGCTGGCTGCTATTCAGTAAGCAACGGGACAGTACTCGGGAGACCGCCTGTTCATGTCCATGCCGTGGTTTGACCCCAGCCACAGTTCCACTTGTTTTGGATCTGGCACGAGATCCACACCCTGTTCCCCAGGCTCCTGGAGCCCAGCCTGTGCCCTATTCTCAGGCCATGCTGCTTCAGCATGTGGGAGGTGCTCGCCATTCACTAGGCCACTGGATCTGCCTTGAAGTGTCCAGGGGAGACAGGGCAGCAGCAAATAGTCTTGCTCACCTTTCTTGTCTCCAGGGAGGACATGCAGGAACTTCTAGGGCTGGAACTTTGATGTCTACAGACACCTGTGTTCTAACACACACCTAGTAAGTGCTCTAAGCATGCCACACAGTGTCACAGAGCCCGAGTTTAGATGGAGACACGTAGTGAGTTCTAATTGCACGCATAGCCCCTTGGGGCTCAGAACAGACTGATGAGAAGTATGACTGATACTGTTCATCCCACTCTGCTGACCAAGCTGTGGCTCAGACAAGTGCTTATTCAGTGTTGCAGACAGGCCGGATTGAAAGGGAAAAACTGTACAAGGTAAACTGTTCTTTTTAAAACTGTGTTCTTTTTAAAGTTGTTTTTGTTTTTGTTTTTTTCCAGTACCAGGAATCAAACTCACGATCTCATTCTTGCCAGGCAGGCGCTGTGCTGCTGAGCTAAATCCCCAGCCCCAACTTTGTTCTTTTGAAACTGCCTAGCTTTGTAACTGCTTCATGGCTTTGTAATTACTTTCTTGACTTCTGTAACCACAGGAGCATAACCGAACATGCAGGATTCCTGATTGTACCCTTGTACCAACCAAGCTTCATGAACTGATGATCATTAATCCTCCCCGGTAACCCGTGATCTCACCCTGCTAGCTAATCAGAAGAACTTCCAGGCTATTCTATCTCGCCTTTGTACCCCCTTTGTACTTGCTGCTTGTTCATCATGTAAAAGCTGTAGCACCAGAGATCGGGGCCTAATACTTTGGGAATGATTCCGATCAGTTCCTGTTGACATAAAATAAGTCTGCCTCCAAATCCCGGGTATGCTTTGGTGTTTCTGCTTGCCACTGCAAGATGACACCGCAGCCTGGGATCTACCCAGGTTCCTGCCTTCACAGCCAGACCTCTCCTAAACCAGAAGGCCCTTTTGTGTTCAAGGCCTTGGTTTGATTCCCCACACTGGGGGGAAAAAAAAAGCAGGAGGTTTTCCCACACAAGGCAGGTCAGAGACTGAGAAACATTAGAAGCAGCCTACCAAGCAGTAAAATACAGATCGACAGTACCAATTGCTTCCTTAAACCAGAGCAATACCAAAGGAGGGTTTGTCTTCATGAGTGAAGGGTCCCTGCTGGTAAGAACTGGAATCATCTGCAACACAATTTCCATAATCTACAGCATTTTGGCTCCTTTTTTTGCACCAGGAGGAGAAGCTTTTTATTAAGTGATGACACCCATACTTCATCAGTATTTAGAGTTTCATTTTTTAAACTAGAAAGAAATGCCTCCCTCTGACCACAAGGGGGCAGGAGTGGTATATACTGGCTGATGAATACTCTGCCTATAACCTAGTATAAATGGATTTGTAAACCCTCTGAATAATAATAAAAAGTTATGCTGCAGTGTGTTTGTTATCAGTGTACTAACTCTTTCACTGACAATATTCTATCAACATGACTCTTCACCGCCCATCTTCATTCAGAGCTTGGCGGACAATATTTATAACTAGATTGATCTGAAAATAGGAGTGCAGTTATGCAGAGCATATTTTGTGTTCAGCTGCATCCCCGTATTCATACTGATGAAGGGTGAATTTCAGGAAACAGGCACAGTAATGCACTGGAGGATCAATGTGGGTAGAAATACTAGAGAACGGTGAAGTTAATGCGTGCTTTGTGAGGGAGCACGAGGAAGATCAAGTGCCAGGACTCGCACGAGGAAGGGCAAACACCCAGTAATACATCTAAAACTGCTGAAGGTCCCTTCCACAGGAAATCAGCCTGTCCACACAAACCCAGTCAGCTGGGTACAACTCACAAGCTCACCAGTAATCTCCGTATTTCTGTTGAGGGTTGGGGGTGGAGGTGGGGACATGGGTAAGAAAAAGGGCAGGGAATCCACAGGGCTGAAAGGCCAAGCGAGGGGCCTCGTTATCCTGTTCTCGGCTCTCTGTCCCATGCTCCCCTCCCTCATCCTTCCCCATCCACTTTTAACGGATGTGTGAAGTGTGCAAGAAATCTGAGTAGGTTCATGTCCCAAAGGTCTGTACACCCTCCCCTTGGCTCGGTATGGTAGGTAAGTACTGCGGCCATCCCCGGCATGGAGAAGGACAATCTCGGCATACAGTAGAGCCTCCGACGGCCCGAGAAACTCGAACTGCACAGGACTCCATCATCGCACGGAGGGTGTTTCTCCGGCGCCGCGGCTTTCCAAGCGAAGGCTCTGGGCCAGCAGCAGCAGTACCCAGACAGATGCTAATTGGAGACCACTAAACGAGGTGCTGCGGGATGGCCTGGCATCTGTGTAAACGCACCCTCCGCGTGAGCCCGTGCGTAAGTCTGAGCGCTGCCTCTCCTTACCGTGTTGCGTCTGTGCCTGTGTAGTAAGGGCTGGGCAGCCTTCAGAAGACAGGCGGGGAAGACTCAGCCAGGTCGTCGGGCAGCGGGCGGGCTGAGCGGGATTCAAGCTAATGGCGCTCGGTCACCCCCAGTTCTGTAAAAGCTGTGACACGGTGTGTCTAGTATTCTCGGGGGTCTGTGGTACTGAATGCCAAGTGACAAGCAAGCTTGGCTTTTTTCTAGTTGTAAGATGATGTTAAAAAGTAACACGGTTTTCCTGATCTTTTGGCAGAGTTGCGATCATTCAACATGTAAATTAGGGCTACTTCAGGTTTTTACACCCCAAGTTCAGTTACCATGCATCATGTTTCTATGTACCAATTGGGCACTAGTTTATCAGGCACAGAGGGTACTCAGATTATCTTTTTTGAGATAGCGTCTCATTATGTAACCAGGCTGGCCTCAAACTCTCCTGCCTCAGCCTCCTGAGTACTGGGATTATAGGCGCATGCTACCATGCCCAGCTTCTGACAGAATTTTTAAAAGTTCTGGTTGTTAAAATGCGGCCATACCTGGAACAGATTAATAAAGGCTTGCATATGCACAAACCAAAGATCCTAAGAGATGCTGTATTTTGTGTAAAGGACTTAATAAGAAAATTTTACAAACCTAGATGCACTTGTTTTATATATTCAATTAACGAGGCTTTGTTGTCATTCCAGAAGTATGGAAGCTTCTCCTCACGAGGATATTTACAGCATGACAGTTCCAGCGTAATTTCAAAACACTGGGCCCAGACGTAGTTGTAATCTTGCATTCCACCTATAAAGAAGCATATTTGATTTTTGTTAAGGTCGACAACTGGCATGGAGCCAAGTATCACATACTCTGGGGATGAGGGAATGAGACAGTTGCAAGAAATATATACGTGGACCTGGAAAGGATGAATGTGACACACTAGCATGTAAAATCAGGGCTGACGTTTTATTACCTGGCATGAACAGGCAATACTAAGCATTCCCATATGGGTAACTGGATCAGAATGGAATCAGTTGTATATCAACATTGAGAGGTGGGGGATCGTCTTTATTTTTATTTTTGAAATCTTACATTATAAAGTATATTTCTTCCTTAAATTACATTTTACTTTTTAGTCTCAAAATGGATTTTTAAAATGTTAATGTAGTATGTATCAGTTATAGACTAGTAGGTCTTATTTGAGCATACTCATACATGCATATAGCATACCTTGATCATACCACCCCACCACTTTGGCCCCTCCATCTTTAGTTTCTTTTCATGTTTTTTTTTTTTTGGTTTGTTTTGGTTTTTTTCCGGTACGGGGAATCGAACTCATGACCTTGTGCTTGCCAGGCAGGCACTGTGCTGCTGAGCTAAATCCCCAGCTCCCCTCCACCTTTAGTAATCTCCTTTCTACTTTCCTGTCCTCTCTGTCTCTGTCTCTCTCCTAGATCCCTTACACGAGGAACAATGTGGTATTTGACTGTCTGAGTCTGGCTTATTTCAGTTAACATGATAGTCTCCAGTTCCATCCACTTTCCTGCAAATGACAGGATTGAATTACATTTAAATGGATAGAAATTAGAGTAAGATTTCATTTAAAACATTTCCATAAACCATTATAAAAATTATATAGAGCAAAACAGACCAGTTATTAAGGGAATAATAATGTCCAGCATTTACTTAGTGTTCACTATTGCTAGGTACTGTTGAAAGTGCTTTGAATCAACTCATTTAATCCTCAGCAATTTTTACCCTTTTACAGAGGAAGAATGTGACCCTGATGTTCAGGCACATGTGCAGGGCCTCCCACCCACTGGTGGCGGAGACGCGGGCACTGTCTGTCTTTCCTGAGCCCCATTACGCCAAGGTGCTTCTGGGGGTCAGAGAAAGGCCACCACAAGCCCCAAGGAGGAAAAAAGACCTCCATGGCTGCTGAGCTTGCCAATGTTTCTGCTCCCTTACCTTCTGGAGACCGAGTTGTAATCATTTCATAAAATGTAAAAAAAATTTTTAAAATATATTTTTGTGGTACTAAGGATCAAATCCAATAGCATTGTACCACTGAGCTACATCCCCAGCCCTGACCTTAATAAAACAAAATTTCATAACAAAATAACTACAGAGTAACAATAATTAATACACTGTGTATCATAATCTTAAAGAAATGCCTAAAATGTTGCTCAGAGTACAAGTCATAGACACAAAGAGACTCTTAGAAGAAACAAACAAAAGGACATTTTTTTTCTTTCCTGGTGATACATTGTTTTATAATCAATGGCATCTTGGATTTGATGGAACATAGGAACTTTGAAGGAAGTAAATTTTAATTTGTTATACTTGATATCTTCCCAAGAAAATATTCTCAAGTCCACCAGGGTATTTGGGAAGTACTAAAGTAGAAAAAGTTTAACTTCAATAAAACAGTCAAAACGTTATGTCAAGATATTAAATATGAAGCAGTATCTATGTTTCTAGCCAGGAGGAATCTCTCTATCCTTACTATTTACTTGTAGGTTTTGTACTTCCTTCTGAACACATGTTCACCAAAAGACAGAAGGAAGAAAAGGGAGAGACAAGCAAACAAAGCGGAGCTCTCAGAGCTGGCCAGATCTGAGGCATGAAGAATTTAAACAACAAAACAGGTATGCATTAAGGGTCCCTAGCAAAGTATGTGGGGTTGAAAATGCCAAGCAGGAAGTGCGTCCACAATTCCGGACCGGGCCAGTCAGGCTGGGCCGGCCAAACTCGCAGGTGGCCAGGACGCTTGGCTCTGACTTGCTCGAGGCAGCTGGCTTGGCCTGCTTTTCTGATGATATACAGCTGCACACACACTCGGGAGCAGCTTCCAACAGCAGCGGTGGGCTTTAGCTCACTTCCCACACATCTGGCTTGTCTTGGAAGTTACAGAGTGAACACAAAGCAGAGCCCTGCCGCTGGGCAGGAGGGGCCCTTCTGAACTCTCAAGAGGGAGCTGCAGCCCTCGGGTGGGGGCGGGCCTCATCTGGGGGGCCGAGAGAGGCCTGAGAGGCCGGGGTGTTCAGCTGGATCTGCTGCTGCCCGCCTCTGACTGTGGTCTGTGCTTGTTTACACTGTGTGACACACTGGCAGCGAGCCGCCAGACACAAAAGTACCAGCGTGTGCAAGATTACTTGACAGTCTGCGTGTCCCAAGTGCCAGCCGGGGAAGGCGCCTTTGGAAGCGGCCTGCGTGCAGACATGCGGACTGCGGCTTGCTGTTTGCGGGGCCTGGAAGGGAATGATTTTTAGTTCCAGCCGTGTCCCTGTGTGGCTCTTCCACCTGGAGTTGTCCTAACAGTTTTTAACTTTGAGACTAGTTTAAGACTAGGAGTTTTCAGACACCCATGGGCTTCTGTTTATACTGTCCCTTCTGATGAAAACATCCTTCCTTTCACATTTGCTATACGATGGCTCTCTCTCCCTTACCTGGCCATCCTACTTCAAGGATGGAAAACCGTGTCCTGCCTGGAACATAATTTAGCCTGGAGAGTAGCTTTAAAGTCATGGTGCTCCTGCATGACATCTAGCTTCCTCTGTGGCCTGGGAGGTCTGCACTACTGCAGGCAGTAACTGGCTGGCTGTAAGCAACAGCTGTCCTTCTTAGCTAGGACGTAAGCAGGACATTTCTCCAAGGTCTTCACTCTTCCCTACAATGTACTGGCTTCATATTCCTACGGGACAGTACCTTTTCTAAATCTCCATTTTTATTCTGATTAGACTGCTGTCATTTTTTTTTTTTGTTTGTTTGAGAAAAGATCTGGCTCTGTAGTCCAAGTTGGCCATTGTAATCTTCCTGCCGTGGACCCTCAAGTGCTGGGATTACAGGTGTGTAGCACCATGCCCAGCTTCACAACTGTTTATTAGCATTAACTTAGCATGAAACTTGAGGGTAAGATCTGTGTCCTGTTAATCTTTCTTGGCAGTTTCTGGCTCACAGTAGGGTGCTGCTGTAATATCTGAATGAATCCATGAGCTGTGGACAGGGACGACCATGTTTATCTCCCAAGCTACTGATCCGCTCTGCTGCTCTTCTGATACCAGCTGAAGGGGATGTGACTGCGGGGCTGCGTTTGCCAACTGCTAGGTCAATATAACCCAGCCGGCACCGTGGGGTAAAGGCAAGGTGGAAGGTACAAGTACCGAAGAGGCACCCACCTTGGAGTGGATACCAGGAGTATCCATTTGTAACTCCATTAGGAAAGTTCATTTTATTTTTACACTGGTCTGGTTTCGTCATGTTGGGATTTCTCGAAGCATAGGTATGTGCAAGGTGTTGGAAAACATCATCATCAGGAGTTAAGCTTCGTGAGTGTGACGTTCCAGTTGCTGTATTTGAAAGACAAACCAAGACCATTTGACTGACTTTAGAAGAGGAAACACAGAACACCATAGCAGCAAACATTCAGTCATACTGCCGAGAAATGCTCGTTTCCTGGAAGGGAATTGTTACGGTTTAGACCTCAAATGTTCCCCCCAAATTCTTATCTGTGGAATGTGACTGGATCATGGGTGTGCTCTACTCAGCAGCGGATTAACCCACTGGTGACTCTATAGCCGACTATTAAGTTAGGAGGAGAGGGGCGGGGCCCGGGGAAGGGCGGGGCCCGGGGAAGGGCGGGGCCCGGGGAAGGGGCGGGGCCCGGGGAAGGGGCGGGGCCCTGGTGGAAGGGGCGGGGCCCGGGGAA